CTCCCGACCTTCGGCTCGTGCGCTCTCTCCGATAGTGAGTTCACCACTCTTACGTACGCCACTCTTACGTACGCAGAAGCAAATACATGTTTGAAAGTGAAGAATAAATATGAACAAAATCGGTGCATCTTGGGTTGATTTTTTTTTCCCTTGTCGTATTGTCCCTTAACACTCATTTTGCTGTTATGCTTTCCCCCCATTACCCCTGTTTTCCTCCCCGCAGCTGCTTCACAATGCTCAAGCCACGATTCGTTCGCCTCGACCCCTCAGCTCTCTCGACCCGTTCCTACCTTCGCGTCGCGCCCGCCTAACACGGGTAGCTGGGATGGCGGCAACGCAGATGATGACGACGAGGAAAAAGAGCTCGATTTCTCCTCAGTCCGCTCCGTTTGTCTCAATTTCGAGGAGGTTTTAGAAACCTCTGAGACGAAGGAGTTTAACCGGGTGCGAATCGAGACCATTGATATTGTCCCGTTGATTTCCGGGATGAAAAGCCCGTTCATGGCTGCAGCTGCCGCGAACCTTCCCGAGCATGTGCTGTTCGCGCTGACATTTGCCGGATCGGATGATATTTACCTGCCCGGAGATGAGTCGGTTCTGAAACTTTTTCCGAGCCGGTTTCAGACGAAGTACTGGGAGCAGGAGCGGCGGAGGCAGGAGGAGAAGGGTCGGAAGGAGACGAAGATGTGGCAGTCATGGCAATCCCAAGGGAACTCGAACAAGCAGGAGCAACAGGTGTGGCAACCACCGCCATCACCTCAGCAACAGCAACAGCAACAGCAGCAGCCTCCGCAGCAGCAGCAGTGGCAGCAGCAGCCTAATCAGCAACAGCAGTGGCAGCAGCAGCAGCCTATTCAGCAACAGCAGCAGTGGCAGCAGCAGCCTAATCAGCAACAGCAGCAGTGGCAGCAGCAGCAGCAGCAGCAGCAGCCGCCTCCGCAGCAACAGCAGCAGTGGCAGCAGCAGGGACAGCAGCAGCAGCAGTGGCAGCAGCAGGGACAGCAGCAGCAGCAGTGGCAGCAACAGCAGCCACAGCAGCCTCAGCAACAGCAGTGGCAGCAACAACAACAGCAGCTTTCACAACAAAATTGGCAACAGCAGCAGCAGCCTCAATGGTAACTGCTGGTACAGCACCAGCTGTAGCTCGAGTGACAAGAGTGCGGGGTTCTCAGCTGTCTCTCCCCGTCGCTCGCCGCTATGGTAACAGCCTGCGCAGGATACGGGACAGCCCCAGCTGTAGCTTGGGTGACAAGGGTAGCATGACAACCCCCAGATGGTGCAGGTTGCAGTGACCCGGCTGTCCCTCGCGCCAGGTTCTCAGCTGTCTCTTTCCGCCTTTGTCTGCAATGGTAACAGCTGGCACGGGACAGCCCCAGCTGTAGCTCGATTGGCGAAGGGTAGCATGACACCCCCTGGTCCTGGGCTCAGGAGCTGACACCGCCCGTGAAGATACTGGAGGGTGTCGGTTGGGCTGTGTATGCTCTTTTGATAGTGGAGGAAACATGTGTTTTAGTTTATCTGCTTGCTGCAGATGGTTGTGCAGGCAAATGAGGTTTTTGGGATCTTCCTTGGTCAATGCCTTGTGTTTTTATTGTTTTCAAATAAATGATGTGTGGAGCACCAGTTACGGCTCAGGAGCGCATGAATTGTGCCATCAGTGTTTGATAAGGGGTAGAGACGTTTTTATTGACCGTTCTTTTTGAAGTCCTGAGAATTTAGTCTCAATAAATCTTATCTGCTATGTCAAATTGGAGTAGCACTTTGGCGAGTATAGCAGGCAGGCGCTGGATAAAACTGCGGCAGCGATCCTTCGCGCGAAGCCTCGTCACGCCACGCAACCTCCAGAGCTGTCGCACTTTTGTGACTATAACGACGGGTGCCAACAATGTTCCTGCGTGGCAGGTCACTTCTCCCCCTATTGCGGAAGTTTTGAGACATTCAGCAAGCAATTCAGGTAACCAAACCAGCAGAGATATTGTGTAACCGCTCCATATCACGACATAACTCCCTCAACCGTACAAACAAGGCCGTCAACAACCACGCTTGGGAACTCCAACTCAAGCATATCCCACGATGGCCTAAGGCGATGGATGCTTTATCAGGACGCCATAATTGTCAAACCTTCTTATCTCGCAATTCAGCTCGCGACTTTCCCAATTACGAGCTGTCGCTCCTAACTTTCACCCGTCAGCATTCCCCGTCCCTCAGCCATTTGCTTTGGATTCGCCGTCGAACCTCGCGTCCGGCCACTCTCATCAACCCAGTTTTAATTCAGAGGAAAAAAACTTCCAGATTCCAGACGACCAGCTCAATCGATCTGGACAGACTCGCGAGCCGCTAGCATTCCATTACTTCCATCCTTGATCGTCTTTTGCCAACCTCCGCGTGCTCGTTGCCCCGTTCCCCTCGAGGCTCCTCCCGTCGTTACTGATTTCTTCGGCAACAAACAACTACTTCAACTACGCTAATAATGGCGTCGAACGGAAGCTTCTGGGCGACCGCGCGAATGTTCGTGCCGTCTGCGCTGGAGAGGCCTCGCGATCGGGACCAACGCGTGTTCGTCGCTTCGCCTGTCGAGTCCGTCGCGCAGCAAAGCGCGGAGCAGAAGGCCAAGGCCCAGGAGTGCGTCGATGGTGAGTCGACTTAAATTTTGCTAATTACACCCGGCTTTTGTTGTTCGTCGTTTCGCCTGTGGAATCTGTCGCGCAGCAGAGCGCCGAGCAGAAGGCCAAGGCCCAGTAGTGCGTCGATGGTGAGTCGACTAAAAAGTCGGCTCATTAGACGCGGTTATTATGTTGATAAGTTGTTTTCTGTCGTCGCTTCGCCTGCGGAGTCCATCGCGCAGCAACCGTTTTGTTTTTGCCAACAAGCCTTTGTGTTTGCCATCCCATCCACCTGCAGCCGGCGTTCGGGTGGGTTTCTATAACGCTGCATGGGCCGCTGCGCTTACGACGCCCCCAACAGTGAGCTTTTCCACCCCCCCTTGACTTGTTTTTGTCCTCCTGTTTTCTTTTGAAAGGAAAGAAACAGAAAGAAAAAAGAAACGATATTAGTAAGGATCAAACAGTTGCTTAGGACGACCCCATCAGTGGGCCTTTCCTAATCCCCTTGTCTTATTTTTAAGCTCCGTGTTGGAGTTTTTTTTTTTTTCAAAAACTCAATACTTGCACCTCGTTTATGTGATGCATCGCAAGCCTTCAAATACGCTCACTGCGCTGCCCGCATCAGTGAGCCTTTCTTTGCAATGTAAGTTTCGAAGCATGAATTCCTGTTTCTCTGAATCTGAGGCGAGAATTTGATAAACATTCATTCCCCTGCGACAATCAGCCAACTACCTTCTCCCCATTTGATTTGTTACGCTGACTGCAAGGTTCATGCCATCATTTATCTCACAAATACCTCTCCAATCCCCCTTACCCTCTCCCATTTCCCTGTTTCCTCTTGGATTGCGGCCATGCTTCGTCCTCCCCAATCTCCACACATTTTTCACAATTCACAATTGAGATCGAATTATTGTCTGCTGGATTGCAGCTTGGCCGAAAGCAGATGTAGCTTTGCGAGTCATGAAAAGCTGACCCTGCTGCTGCTCCCTCCTCCATCTTTGTTCAGATCATTATCTGCCGAACCATGCCGTGGGCCAAGAAGAATCTCAACCACACAGCACAGGCTCTTATCATCAGCTCAGGTAGGTGGGGAGTGATGGAGCGTATCTAATCGATCTAGAAAGTCAACCACACACGGCACAGGTGGGTGGGGATTGATAATGTGTTTCCAGTTGAGTCTGACTCATGCTCTCAATATTCGCTCTGGTAAGTGGGATTTGGCTGTGCACTTTTTTCTCTTCAAGAAGCATTTAGAACTGGAGGGACCCCCCCGCCCCCCCCCTTAGACTAGACGCCATCCACACCCACTGCAGCTGGAATTTATTCCAATTTGTCTTCTGTTTGTAGATTTGTTGTGCTGGGCCGTAAGCGTTATTTCGAAGAGCAGAACTTGCGCTTCATTCATTCCTTTTCTGACCAGCTGCCTTTGCAGTGTACTTCTCACACCGGAGCACACTATAATGGACTGCACTTCACATTCCGCAAGTCCATCCCTTCTCCTCCACTCCGTTTGTCTGAGCAGCCGCCATTGCCGCGTATTTCATTACATCGGAGCACACTATTATGGAGTGCACACACCGTAAGTCCATGGAGGCCATACATGCGAAGAGGAAAGCCAAGGCCGAAGCTGCTGGATCACAATAGTTGCTGGACTGGACACTCTGTTTTGAATGTGGACATTACGCATCATCTTGTTCGATAGGAAGCAAGTGTGAGTCGTTTATTTCTTCAGTTTGCTGCATTGTTTTAAAACCATGCATTGGTGCCCTGCAGCACCTTCTGTTGCCTGCAATTGCGTCAGGTTGCTGCATCACCAGCTCTCATGGTGTGTTAAAGGATTAGGAGGGGAGCAAGCTGCTTTCTAAATTACTACTTGACAGGCTCTTATAGCAATACAGGAATGTGAGACTAAATTTAGGATACTCCACAAGGGGAAGTAGAAAAAATGTTATTCAGGACTATACAACACAATGAATCAATAAACATACCGGTACCGTTTAAGCAGCCAAGTGCTGCTGCGGCTCTGCTGCCGCTGCACTTTATTCTCCTCCCCACGGCTTTCTGCAAACCAGATGCTCTGCACCTTGGAACTCCAGACACCTCCCACCATAAACCCTAATCCTGCTGCTGCTCTCTGTCTGCCCCTCTGGTCGCCACATAGTCTTCTGAAACACCAGAAACGTCTTCCTTCAGCAAAACGCGCCGCATCTAAACTACCATCTCACTGCTGCTGCTCTGCCTGCCCCTCTGGTCGCCACATGGTCTTCTGAAACACCACAAACGCATCTCCCTTCCTTCACCAGCACTGTCTGGCTCCACCCTAACCCCCTCGCAACCCACTCACATGGTACTGCTGCTCCTGTGTTTGCCCCAACCCATGTCCCTGGCAAACTCTCATTACTGCTGCTGCTCTGCCTGCCCCTCTGGTCGCCACATGGTCTTCTGAAACACCACGAACGCCTCCCTCCCTTCCTTCACCAGCACCGTCTGGCTCCACCCTAGCCCCTTCACCACGGCCTGCAGGAAAGGGATGTGCTGCGCGTGCTCGCGGGCTATCAAGTAGCCAAAGGGGCGAAGAATTCGGTCGATCTCGACCACTATGTCTGCTGCCTCGCACCTGGGAGGGGAGAGCAGGGGAGGATGGTGTAGGGATGAGAGAGGGGAACGGGATGTGATGCGCGTGCTCCCGGGCTATCAAGAACCCCCAGGAGCGCAGGATTCGGTCGATCTCCACTGCTATGTCCCCAGCCCAGCAGCCCTGATCCCAGCAGCCCCTCACTCTCACCACTTTTCAGTGAGCTCCTTTCCGAAGTGATGATCACAGTGCACGAGGTCGTAGGTGCGAGGATACGTGTTGTTGAACCCCTCACACCAGCCGTGGTACACAAGACGGCTAACGTCCAATATCACCTGGTTCCCGCCACCTTCAATCCCCTTGGTGCTTCTCACCTCTTTTCCGTGAGCGCCTTCCCGAAATGGTGATCCCAGTGCACGAGGTCGTAGGTGCGAGGATAGGTTTTGAACGCCTCGCACCAGTCGTGGTACACATAACACGCCCAGCAGCCCTCAACCCAGCAGCTCCCAGCTCAGCAGGCCTCAGCAACCTGCTGCTTGGCCCCAGGCCTCAGCGCTCACCTCTTTTCAGTCAACGCCTTCCCAAAATGGTGATCCGAGTGCACGAGGTCGTACGTCCGTGGATAGGTGTTGAACGCCTCGCACCAGTCATGGTACACTCCCAGCAGCCCTCGGTCGAAGACGACTGGCAGGGTGTCAGGGCTGGTTGTGGGCACCACGCTCATCACCCACACAGGCTTGGCCTTTTCTAGAGCAGCACCGAAACTGGGGGATGGGGGTAAAGCAAGGGAAGGGAAAGCAGGGGAGGGGCAACGAGGTAAGGGCACCAGTCGTGGTACACTCCCAGCAGCCCTCGGTCAAAGACGACTGGCAGGGTGTCAGGGCTGGTCGTAGGGACCACGCTCATCACCCACACAGGCTTAGCCTTTTCTAGAGCAGCACCGAAACTGTGGGGAATGCGGGGTTGCAGGGCAAGGAGGGAAAGGGAATGAGGGGAGAACACCAGTCGTGGCACACAACACTCCCAGCAGCCCTCGGTTGTGGGCTGGCAGGGAGTCAGGGCTGGTTGTGGGCACCACGCTCATCACTCACACGGGCTTGACACCCCCCAAGGCAGCGCCAAAGCTGGGTATGGAAGAGGGGTGGAATGGGGCAGTGAAAGGGCTAGTCAGAGGATGTTACTGGCAGGGTGGCAGGGAGTCCAGGCTGGTTGTGGGGACCACGCTCATCACCCACACGGACTTGACACACTCCAAGACAGCGCCAAAGCTGAATGGGAGAATTGGGTGGGGCAACGGCAGAATGATAGGGCGAGTGGGTGAGTGAGTGAGTGAGTGGGGCAATGATAGGATAAGCGGCAGGGTGGCAGGGTGTCAGGACTGGTTGTGGGCACCACGTGCATCGTCCACATGGGCTTCGCTCGCTCCAAGGCAGGTCCAAAGCTGAATGGGAGAATCGGTATCTCCATTGGAGAGGGGTGAGTTGGTATCACAGTTAGGGTGGTGGCTGGCAGGGTCTCGGGCTGGTTGTGAAAACCACTTTCACTGTCCACACTGGCTTAACATGCTCCCAGGTAGCACCGAGACTGTGGGGGAAGGGAAAGGAGGAAAAGCACCCGTCGTGGTGGACCCCCTTTGCTGAGTCTGCACGCCCTCCCAGTTGGTCCCCAACCCATCCACATAATGCCGCACCACCCGCTCCCAATGCCCCACTCAGTGCCTCTCTAGGCACCACAGCACAGGCACGAAGCAACTTCGTTTTGAGTCGTGTTTTGAGTCGTGTTTTGAGTCGACTCAAAAGCAACTTAGTGCCGCACGCCCTCCCACCGAATCCCAAGCCCTTCACCACTGGCAAAGAAGCAACTCAAGTGCTCCCATCCATCCCATCCCTACTCACCCGCCATAGCGTGCGTCCATATCAAGCACGTTCCGCAAGCCCTCCCATTTGATCCCCAGCCCATCCACATAATGCCGTACCCACCCGCTCCCAATGCCCCACTGCCTCCCAGCTCACTCACCCGCCATAGCGTGCGTCCATATCTAGCACGTTCCGTACGCCCTCCCACCGAATCCCCAGCCCATCCACGTAGTGCCGCACCACCCGCTCCCAATCCCCCACATCATGCTGATACTCCTTCACTACTGGCCGCCTATACACCCCCACCACCTCCCCTCTCTCCCCAAGGTGTGGAAGCAGCAAATCACTCACCCGCCATAGTGTGCATCCATATCTAGCATGTTCCGCACGCCCTACCAGCTAAGAGGTGGGAAAGAGAGCAACTCACTCACCCGCCATAGTGTGCGTCCATATCAAGCACGTTCCGCACGCCCTCCCAGTTGATCCCAAGCCCATCCACGTAGTGCCGCACCACCCGCTCCCAATGCCCCACATCGTGCTGATACTCCTTCACTACCGGCCGCCCATACACTCCCACCACCTCCCCTCTCTCTCCCCAAGGTGTGGAAGCAGCAAATCACTCACCTGCCATAGTGTGCATCCATATCTAGCATGTTCCGCACGCCCTACCAGCTAAGAGGTGGGAAAGAGAGCAACTCACTCACCCGCCATAGTGTGCGTCCATATCAAGCACGTTCCGCACGCCCTCCCAGTTGATCCCAAGCCCATCCACATAGTGCCGCACCACCCGCTCCCAATGCCCCACATCGTGCTGATACTCCTTCACTACCGGCCGCCCATACACTCCCACCACCTCCCCTCCTCTCTCCTCCCCTCCCTCCTCCCCTCTTACCCTCCCGCTCTCCTCCCCTCCCGCCTCCTCTCTTATCTTCCTCCCCTTCCCTCTCCCTAACCACCCTGGAACCGCAGTCAACCGCTCTTCACCCTCCGCCGGCCACGCGCCGCCCCTCTCCTCCTTCCCGGACGGCACTGGATGCAGACATGCCTGCATGGGGATGTACCACGCCGCATCCGCGTTGTCCTGTAGCGGGCACATGGGCGGCAGATCACCGGCCGGCCGGGCGGCGTAGCAGTCGTTGCTGGTCGGCTTCTGCCACACGGCTACCCCAATGCCGAACCCGTGGCTGATCTTCTTACCCACGCGCTTCCAGCACATGCTGGCTGTGAGGTTTGTCATGGCTGGATATAGTTGGGAAAGAGAGGGAGAAGTTGGGAGAAGAGTGGGGAAGAATGGGACATGTGTGTGTCGGTGCTATGGCGAACCCGTGGCTGATCTTCTTACCCAGCTGCCTTCAGCACTCACATGCTTACTTACAGTGCGATTCGACATGCTCGAAACGTGCATTACCACATCTCAGTGTGCATTACACCTTCTCAACGTCCTTTGAGGCGCCTCCTCACATCTCAGTGCTTAAGCGTCCTCTCTACTACTGCAGCCCTTCGAAACATGAGTCAGGGTGACGTGCATTACCACATGTCAGTGTGCATTACACCTTCTCAACGTCCTCTCACCTTTCCAACCGCCTCTCGATGTTTCGACCGCTTCTCACCTGCCCTTTTTCCTTCGTCATCAGTGCCCTTGGCAGCACACTCCTTGCACACGGGGGTGGCTGACCAGATGAAGTAAACCCAATCCAGATAACACCATCTGAAACCGCATGTCACCGCACACCACACCTTCCTAACCGCTTCTCACCTGTCCATATCCCCTCGTCATCAGTGCCCTTGGCAGAGCAATCGTTGCACACGGGAGTGGACCAGGTGAAGTAGCCACCCAGGCTAAGACAATCAGGAACCATACGTCACCATACACCACCCCTTTCCAACCGCTTCTCACCTGCCCAAATCCCTTCGTCATCAGTGCCCTTGGCGGCACACTCCTTGCACACAGGGGTTGCCGACCAGATGAAGTAGCCTCCTGGCCGGAGCAGCCGGTTCACCTCCAATAGCAGCTTGCCACCTGTACAGGTGAGATGGGGAAAGAGGGCAAAAATCGAGTATTTTGTAAGCAAGAAATCAGAGTAGTGGAGTCTAGCGGTTTGGGGGAATTTAGGGGATTTTGGCTCTGTGGGAGTTTACAAAATTCTGGTGTAGGGCGGGCCTAGGGGGGTTCGGTTTGGGGGGGATTTGGGGGGATTTGTTTAAAAAAACAACCGGGCGCTTGCCCTCTGCGTGCCAGGGCACGCGGCAGCGGGCGCAGTGGAGAGCATCAAGCACGTTGGAGGGGAGCGGCTGCATCTGCGTCCCCATCACCCCCACCAGCGCCGGCACACCCAGTTTCAGGGTTTCGGGTTAAGGGTTTGAAGGGATTTCAGTGGGGTTATGTGGAATTTGGTGTGAGGAATTCGAGTGCTTACCCTCTGCATGCCAGGGCATGCGGCAGCGGGCACAGTGCAGAGCGTCAAGCACGTTGGAGGGGAGGGGTTGCCCAGTTCAGAGTTTTGGAGTGATGGTTTTGATGGTCTCGATGCCTGCCCAGCGGGCGCAGTGCAGAGCGTCCAGCACGTTGGAGGGGAGGGGTTGCCCAGTTCAGAGTTTTGGAGTGATGGTTTTGATGGTCTCGATGCCTGCCCAGCGGGCGCAGTGCAGAGCGTCCAGCACGTTGGAGGGGAGGGGTTGCCCAGTTCAGAGTTTTGGAGTGATGGTTTTGATGGTCTCGATGCCTGCCCAGCGGGCGCAGTGCAGAGCGTCCAGCACGTTGGAGGGGAGTGGCTGCCTCTTCGTCCCCATCACCCCCACCAGCGCCGGCACACAGATCTCAGGAGATGTGGGGTGACGGTTTCAACGGGTTCTGAGGAGCTTAGAGTGGTTGAGGGGGGTTTCAGCAACAGGAAACTTGGTGCTTACCCTCTGCGTGCCATGGCACGCGGCAGCGGGCGCAGTGGAGAGCATCAAGCACGTTGGAGGGGAGGGGTTGCCTCTGCGTCCCCATCACTCCCACCAGCGCCGGCACACCCCGCTCTAAAGCGAACTGAACCTGCAACATGTGAACGCCCCAGAGTGAAATAAGCAGAAACGGAAGGCAGGAAATGAGGTGACGTTTGAGTCGACTCAGACGGGCTGCCTCTGCGTCCCCATCACCCCCACCAGCGCCGGCACACCCCGCTCTAAAGCAAACTGAACCTGCAACCGGTAATCAGTCCAGGGCGAAAGCAACACGAACAGGAACAATAGTACTTACGTAATGCTGCAGGGGAAAGTGAAGGGCTAACAGCAGGGCGCTGAGTACACAGCTGAGCGGACAGCAGAGGACACAGGATAGCACACTGCAGCAAACACCTCACCGCACCTGTGCTGCGTGCGCATCCTGGGGTGCTACAGACAAGAAGCAGATGGCGAGAGATGAGTTTTGAGGTGACTTTTGAGTCGACTCAAAAGTCACCTCACCGCACCTGTGCTGCGTGCGCATCCTGGGGTGCTACATACAAGAAGCAGATGGCGAGAGATGAGTTTTGAGGTGACTTTTGAGTCGAGGTGACTTTTTGAGTCGAGGTGACTTCTGAGTCGAGGTGACTTTTGAGTCGAGATGACTTTTGAGTCGACTCAAAAGTCACCTCGCATCCTGGGGTGCTACATACAAGAAGCAGATGGCTAGAGATGAGTTTTGAGACGTCTCAAAAGTAGATAAGACTACTTTAGTCTATTCAACAATGGCAATTTGAACCGTACCACACCGCACCTGTGCTTCGTGCTCGTCCCGGGGCGCTACAGACAAGACGCGCGTGTGGAAGGCGTCGAGGTACGCGCCGAAACTTGCCACCCCACAGCCCATGTCCAGCATGGCTCGGATGCGCTTGCCGAAGGACAGGAATGGGAAGACCTAGAGGGGGAGACGGAGACAGAGTTTGGATGGTGTGGAGAGAGGTCAGCAGGAAGGGAAAGGTGAGAATACGACAGGCACATGCCACACTTGCCACCCCACAGCCCATGTCCAGCATGGCTCAGATGCGCTTGCCGAAGGACAGGAAGGGGAAGACCTGGAGGGGAAGATGCGTGGGGAGGGGAGGGGAGGGGTTTGGAGAGATGAGCAGAGGAGGGGGTTGTGAGAATGGGTGGTAAGCATTTAGACAGACACCCCACAGCCCGTGTCCAGCGTGGCTCGAATGCGGCTGCCAAAGGACAGGAAGGGAAAGACCTGGAGGGGAAGACCTGGAGGGGAAGACCTGGAGGGGAAGACCTGGAGAGGAAGATGGGCGAGTTTAGGAGTTGGATGGGTTATGCGGTGAGAAGAGAGGAGGGCAGGTGGGTATACGCTGAAATACGCCAGCACCAGTCGACAGCACCACAGCTAGTGTCCATCATCATTCGGATATGCTTGGCACAGGACAAGAGCTTCACTTTTTGCATTGCCACAGGACAAAAATGGAAGCTCAGCTCATTCCCTTCTTCTCTTCTCCTCTCTTCGCTCCTTTTGACTTCTATTCTCTCTCCTCTCCTCTCCTCTCCTCTCCTCTCTCCTGTCCTTTCCTCTTTCATCTGTTCCATCCTCTTGCCTCTCTATGTACTCGCTAATAGAAACTCCGCGCTCATCTTTTGCGGCCGGGAATGTATTCAGTGGAGCCATACTTCAACTGCTACTCTCTTTGCTGCACTCTTATCGGTACACTCTGCTCATGCTGTACTCGTTATAAGCAACGCCTTACCCACCTGCAGCCAGGCGATGTACTCAGTGACGCCTTGCTAAAACTGTGAATTACCATGAACTGTACGTACTCGTTATTAACAGCCCCTTGCGCACCTCCTGTAGCCAGGTGATGTACTTAGTGACGCCGTACTTGAACTGTGTCCCGCCGCCCGGGAATATGAACCTATCGCCCTCAGGCTTGATCCAGTTCTGATCCGCCTTGTAGTTTGCGAGCTGCGTGTGCGGCACATTGGCGAACCATATCTGGAGGAGAGGAGAGGAGAGTGATGGGGAGAATGAGAGGGGAATATGAATCTGTCCCCCTCGGGCTTTATCCAGTTCTGATCCGCCTTGTAGTTCGCGAGCTGCGTGTGCGGCACATTGCGAACCATATCTGTTGGTGGGGAAGGGATGGGGAGAATGGAAATTCGAAGGAGCGACTGAGGGGAAGAGGAGAGAGTGTAGAGGGTTGGAATGGGAGCTGAGCCGCTCGTGCGCTACGTTGGCGAACCAAATTAGGTAGGGGAGGGGAGGGGTGGGAATGAGCATGAAAGAGGATGAGAGAGACTGAGAGTCCGGCTGGGAAGGAGTGCTTCGCCGACTTGCCCTCTCTATTCACGCCCCTTCCCTTCTCACACGCTTACCCACCTGGTCCCTCGACTCGGGCCAGTTGACGTGCGCCTTGTACCCCTCGGGCAGCGGCAGCAGGCAGCGCAGCACGCCGTCTTTCCCGGGGCAATGCCGCTCCCGATGCTCGTAGTGGCTCGTCGACTTGAGTGCCTTGATCGCAGCCTCGTTTTCCAGGCACGGGATGAAATCTGGACCCTCCGTTTGGCACAGCGGGAACACGGGCGCTGAAATCTGCAGATTGAAGGGCAGGGCGGGGCCGGAAACGGATGACGGGGGGGGTAAAAGGAGAAGGTGTCGAAGTTTCTGAAACCGGACATAGGCGACACGTTTCTGACTGAGTCAAACTAGGAGAAACGGAAATCGTCAAATGTATGAGTTAACGTCCGTGAATCCTCGTCTACCACGTCATGGTAACAACAGACAGAGTTTCGAGACGGGTGGCGGAATGCGGTCGCACCTTATCTTCCGCTGCTTCCGCCTCCAATGCGTGAGGGCCGTTCACGAAGCCCTGAGTGCGGAAGGGGCAGGGTTGTGGGGGGAATGGAGAAACGGCGGAAGGGTCAGGGTTGAGTGGCGAATGGGGAATGGGGGAAGGGTCAGGGTTGTGGGTGAGATGGAGAGACAGGGTTGAGGGGCGAATGGGGAGGGGACGGGGAAAGGGTCCGGGTTGTTGGGGGAAAGGGGAGACCGAGGAAGGGCCGGGAACGATAGCTGATTTGAGAGGTCAAACGGGGGACCTAAACAAGGAGGATAGTACCGCCATTGACAAAACAAAACGGAAAAACCAACTCGGCATACAGTGAACGATTGCGCGGGTTCCATCGCGTCGGGGTCGGCCGTCTCCGTGACGTCATCTTCCAACGATTCCATCTCCACCGTTACACCTGACGACCGCTGCGGGTTGACCGCTACACTTGCCGGCTGACGGTCTACCAGTGACGTGACGACAACCGTCGACTCTATCTGCACGCAAGACGACCAGGGCAGAAATATCCGCAAGGGAAAGGGAACTGGTTTTGAGTGATCGACACGGGGACCCAGTCATCCATACCACTTGGTACCGTAGAGACTGACGCTAATGACTCTCTCTAGTACGAATCGACTTGAAGTTTTGCCGGCATTCGCTCCCGCTAGAACGACACATCCACACATTCCTAAGCGAACAAGGACGGCTTGTGACACATCCCTCCCTAATGCCTGCTGCGACCTCTTATTCCGCTCAAGAGCTATTTTCGCCCTCCAAATTTGCTACCACTCCCAGAAACATACGCAAGCCGGATAAACTATTCGCAAATCCAACGAGTTTGACATGATGCTTCGACAGTAGCGACGGGACCCTCGTGGAGTTGAGATGCAAAACATTAGAGTTGAAACAATCTGGAAAATAAACTCAACAAGATGCATATATCTTTCGCTCAAATATTCGCGCGCGGCTGGAGAATGGTAACTAGGTACCTGTGATCTTCCTGGCGCCAGGAAGAGCCAGGCGGCTAGCAGGCACATGACGGCAAAAGCTGCCGTCGTGCAAACGGTGTTAACGACTTCCGGGGACCATGGCCGTTTTCCCACTACGGTCGGCAACCGTGCAATTCGCGTGGTCCACGTCAACCTAACTGAATCGAACGGCTTCGCGACAAGAGACGCCATGAACGAAGTCCGGTCACGCTTCTTACTGGTTGTATCGCTACTAGGCTCAAGGCGTGCGCGACGCCTGCCGTTGAATTCTTTAGAAAACTGGAACATATCGGCTGCTTTAGTACGGAGAGGTAGGTAACTATTATGTCTGGTTCCCAGCAATCTAGGCTTTCGAAGCTACGGCTGTGGGTGTCGGAAGCCGTACAGAGACACCCGTGTCTGCCCTACAAACGAGCGTGCAACTACGAGGAGATCCTATTTTCTTGACTGCGGTTCGGACATCAGAATGCTGTCACCGAAAACGATCGTCTCGGTGGGACATGTACGTGGACATATTCGGAGCAATGGGAGGACATGGATGACACCGTACACCAGGGAGGAACAAACGGAGGGGGAAGGACAATGGGAGGAAGAATGTCTAGGGCGCGTCGGAGCTTAGTTGACGTCAGCGAGCCGTCAAGCAAGCTCGAGGTTGCCCAGATAAACCTCGAGAGTATCACGGCGAAACGAAAATGAAGACAAACACACAAATTCCCGCCCTCTGGAAGAAAAAAAGCATTGTAGCTGCAGCCTGCTCGGTTGGCATGCCACCATCCCAGGTTCCCCGTCCGCTAGATGGCCGCGCGTCACGCATCAACGTGACACGACGCGCCGGTTCCAGCACCCCAGGGACCATCGATTGTGCAGTCGCCGCACCAAACAGGCTTGGGGGACGGGTAAGGTAAGGGGAACCAGGCCAGGCGGTTTGGTTGGGGAAAAAGTTGCTGTGCAGAGGAGTCGTTGGGTATGGGAGCGAGGGGTTGTCGAGGGCCGAGGCGCTGTAGTGTCACATAGGCGTTGTTCTGTAGGCACGACGGAGGGAAGGGGGAGGGAAAATAGGAAGCTGCCTGCCTCTGCAATTTTAGGCTCGAAATGGCGGTCAGCCCGAATAGGCTGACGTGGCAGTCATTTCCCTTCCGAACCTAATCGAAGGGAAATGCCTGCAGAATAGTCATTTCACTCCAGGGAAATGCACCCCCAGGAAGGTTCTTATTTCCCCTCACCACCTTCCTCCTCGGGCAAATTTATTGCCTCCGCCCCGCCATCGGCCAACCACCCTTCACGGGGAAGTGTGACGGTGACGGGAGGGAGGAGCTGGGCGTGGGAACACCAGCCTCCCACCTAAGAAACAAGCTTCCTGTACTGCCACTAACCCAAACAGGGTTGCAAAACTCAAATCGAAAAAAGAAAAACACACATCAACCACCAATGTGGAAACCCTGGCGGCCTGCTCATCACTCCTGTATGTTGGGGTTTTTTTATGTTGAAAACTCCCAGCCCCAAAACATTACCCTCCTCCTGCATTCGATGGTCACGATTTACCCGTCCATTGGACGTGAGAAATTCCGCGAGAAGTTCGTCATTTTCCCTCGGAAACTACCTCCCCAGAATCCGAAATTTCCCATCTCGAGTGTTTGCCCAGGTGGGGGAAATTGACCTCGGAACACACCTCGGAACCCTCCTCATTTCCCTTCTCCCTCCCTCCTCTGTTACAAGAGTAAGCATAGTGAGGAGCCATAGCTAGGGTTTAGCTAGCTAGGCAAGAGAGAAATGAACAAAGGAGGGGTTTCACTAGCAGCAGTTGGGATACATATAGCAAACCCTAACTGGGTTGTACCCGCTATAGAGCACCCCACTACATGCTAGATAATAACATTCTGACACACCCCCATAGCCAAAGTGGGGTGTAATCAGCACAATGAGCAGGCACAGCAGGAGTTCACAATAATAAGCAAAGCTAGAGGTAACCACAGCGGGCAAGTGAGGAGGAGGAGGAACTGTGGAAGGAGAGAAGATGGGATGCAACGACTGAAGCTGCAGAGGCACGGGCACATGAGCGGCTGACTCAGTGGCTACCGAAGCAAGGGCGACGGACTACTGGAGTGACTGGCTCCGCGGCTAAGACGAGCGGCAGGAGCAACGGACCCACTGGCGACTGGTGCAACAGGCTCACTGGCTACCGAAGCAAGGGCGACGGACTACAGGCGCTGCAGGCGACACGACAGCTACCTCCACACAACCTCCTCCAACTGACCCACACCCTTGACACACACCCCCTGCTGAACCCCTAACTCCACTCCCACATCACCCCCTAGCACCACTCCTTCGGCTCCCACACACCCACCCCCCTGAGCGGCAGCTGCAGCAGCGGGAGACGGAGGAGGAGGAGTAGTGGAACGGCGCACAGAAACTGCACCCCCATACCCCCACCCCCAAACCCTAATTCAGGAGAACGGGCAGCAGCAGGGGTGGGGCGCCGTCAGTAGCACGGGGGACAGCGGGCAGCTCAAGGGCAGAGAGGAACGGGCCGCCCACGGGCCTGGCACAGCCAGACGAACCGCGCGCAGGCGGCCCGTGTCAGATTTATATGACTTAGCTGCTGTAGGCTATAGTGGGGTAGCACATATGGGGTACAGCTTTCTAGGGTTTGTACTTGTACCCAACTTTCCCTTAGTCTTTTCATTCTCGTTCAATTTCACATGGTATAGAGCAGGTTCCCCTGTGGGAACTGTTCCTAGGGCCCACCGATTTTTTTTCCTGCCCGGAGCGCGCTCAGCCTCTGCCCGAGTCGCGCTCCCCTCTCACGACCCCGTCGCGCCGCCCTTACGACCCCGTCGCGCCGCCTTAGCGGCCCCGTCGCGTCGCGCCTCCCTAGCGACCCCGTCGAATCGCCCTTGCGACCCCGTCGCGCCGCCCTCGCGGCCCCATCACGTCGCGCCGCCCTCGCGGCCTCGTCGCGCCGCCCACGCGGCCCCGTTCCGCCGCCCTCGCGGCCCCGTCGCGTCGCGCCGCCCTTGCGGCCCTTTCGCGCCGCCCTCGCGGCCTCTTCGAGCCGCCCTAGCGACCCCTCCACGCCGCCCTCGCGGCCCCGTTGCCTACCCTTGCGGCCCCGGCCCCGCTCTTCCGGCCCCGGCGCCGCCTCTGCTGGCCCCGTCGCCCCACCCTTGCGACCCCGCGGCCCCACCCTTAAGGCGCCGGTCGCCACCCTTCGTGGCCCCGCCGCCGCCCTCAGCGGCTTCGTCGCCGCCCCACCCGGCCCCGCCGCTGTCCCTTCAGAGGCCTTGCCACCCTACGCGGCCCCGCCGTCACCAGCGAGCCGCCGGCGCCGCTAAGCCGCTGTTGCCGCTGTGCTGCCGAGCCGCCGCAGCTGCCGAGCTGCCTGAGCCACCCGAGCCGCCCGAGCCGCCGAGCCGCCGCTGCTGCCGAGCCACCCGAGCCGCCCGAGCCGCCGAGCCGCCCTGTCCGGTAAGAGCGGTACCTCTACCACTGCGCTGCCCTTAGCCTACTGCTCGCGCTGCTAGTCTACTGCTGTCATGGCTACCCCCAGCGTCCTCGCTTTTGACGCTGAGGGTCGGGCCATTGACTTTGACGTCTGGGTAGATAACCTGAAGCTTTTCCTACAGTGCGATAGGGCAGACGGTCTCTCCCTCTTTGACCTCACTTCTGGTGCCTCTCCTGCCCCTGCTGCTGATGCTGACGCCACTGTTCGCTCACAGTGGGCCACACGCGATGCTGCTGCACGTCTTGCTGTGCGTCGCCACTTGCCTAGCTCTGAGCGTGCACACTTTAGCCAGTACAAGAGTGCTAGGACCTTGTACGACGTTGTAGTTGCACGCTACTCTTCCCCTGCCACTGCTGCACTTAGCCGCCTCATCCTGCCGTACCTCTTCCCTGACCTCGCTGCTTTTCCCACAGTCGCTGACCTCATTACGCACCTTCGCACTAGTGACATTCGCTACCGCGCTGCCCTACCCGCTGAGTTCTGCGCCAAGAACCCCCCCCCTATGTACATCACCCTCTACTACATAGTCACCCGGCTCCCTGACACCCTTCGCCAGGTCAGGGACCACTTCTTCTCTGTTTGCCCCACCACCCTCACCGTTGACCTCCTCGAGGAGCGCCTCCTAGCAGCAGAGAAGAGCATAGTCGCTGTAGGAGCCTCTCGTGGTGACCCTCGTGCCCCTGTCTTTGAGGGGTGCTCCCCCTCTCCTCTCTTGCCCTCTGTTGCCTCTGCTGCTACGGCCGACCTCGTTGGTCTTGAGTCGGTCGGTGTGGCGTCTGCCCCTAGCGGGAGATGCCGCACTGGCAAGGGCAAGGGGGGCAGGGGCGCTGGAGGAGCTAGCGGGGGCGGTGGAGGCGGCGGTGGAGGCGGCGGAGGGGGTGGGGGTGGCGGTGGGGGTGGTGGCAGGGGTGGGGGCGTCGGTGGCGGCAGTGGAGGCGGAGGCGGCGGCGGCGCTGGCGGTGGGAGCGGAGGTGGCGGAGGTGGCGGCGCTGGAGGTGGCGGCGGTGGAGGATACGGCGGCGGAGGAGGTGGAGCTGGTCGGGGTGGCGCAACGCAGAGGGTCGGCTCCAGTGGTGGTCAGCGCCAGCAGCAGCAGCAGCAGCAGCAACAGCAGCAGCGTACTCGTGAGATCCCCCCCCCTCAGCAGCTTCGTGAGTGGTACGCTGCACGCCAGCGGGAGGGGGTACTGGTCCGTGCACCTACGTCCTACGCACCGGCGACCGCGCGGGTGAGCCGTACGGGGGTGCGCACTCCACCCAGCGCTGCTTTGGCCGCCTGACAGACGCTTGGCATCACCAGTTTCCTGAGGCCACTGAGATCCCTCGCTGGGGCGAGCTGTCTAAGGCGGGAGTAGCTATCTTTCACCTTGACTTTGATGCTATTCTTGCTGCCATGTATGCTGTGACTTTTAGTGATGAGGGTGACTGTTACCGGTGTTTTCCGCCCGACCCAGGCATTGGGACTGCTGCTCTAGGTACTGGTGAGGCTGCTGCTTTAGGTGCTAGCGAGGCTGCTGCTCTAGGTGCTAGCGAGGCTGCTGCTCTAGGTGCCAGTGCGTCTGCTTCCTCAGGTGCTGGTGAGTCTGCTCTCTCAGGTACTGCGTCGGCTTCGACCTCCCACACCTTCACCCTTGACTCAGGGGCTTCTCGCTCCTTCTTTCAAGACCGCACCACACTCACGCCGCTTGGTCGGCCAGGTGCAGTCTCTCTGGCAGACCCCTCTGGGGGTCCTGTCCTTGCTCACTTCTCCACTCTCCTCCCGTGTCCGGCGGCCCCCTCTGGCACCCTGTCTGGTTTTACCTCCCCTCGTTCTCTACGAACTTGGTGAGTGGTGCTGACCTACAGGATGCGGGGGTTCACCAGTTCACTCCTGCGAGCCAGCGGGTGACCCACTGCACGGACGCTCGGACGGGCCGACACTTGGCCACGTTTACACGTCGGCCGGGGTCGAGCCTGTACACACTGACCACTGAGTCTCCTCCAGTCACTGCGTCTGGTCAGACAGCTACGTCGGGTCAGGTGTTTGCTGCAGCGTCCAGGTCTGGTCCTGAGTCTGCCCCCTGATCGTGTCGCCTCGTGTCTCACGAGACTCTCCTCTGGCACCACCGCCTTGGTCACCCCTCCCTGCCTCGTCTCCGAGGCATGGCCTCCCGTGTCCTTGTCTCTGGTCTTCCCCGGTCCTTCCCTCCCCTTCCTCCGGGGCCTGCCCCTACCTGCGTCCCCTGTGTCGAGGGGCGGCAGTGCGCTGCCCCTCACTCCTCCCAGTTTCCTCCGATAGAGGCCCCGCTGCAGACGCTTCACATGGACGTGTGGGGCCCAGCCCGCATCCGTGGACAGGGTCACGAGCGCTACTTCCTGCTGGTGGTTGACGACTACTCGCGTTACACCACAATCTTCCCCTTGCGCAGCAAGGGTGATGTCACTGAGGTGTTGATCGACTGGATCCGCGCAGCTCGTCTCCAGCTCAGGAAGAGTTTCGGCTCGGACTTTCCAGTTCTGCGTCTGCACTCTGACAGAGGCGGAGAGTTCTCCTCTGGCCTTCTGCGAGCCTACTGTCGTGCACGAGGCATCCGCCAGACCTTCACGCTTCCGGACTCTCCACAGCAAAATGGGATTGCTGAGCGCCCCATTGGCATGGTCATGGACGTCGCCCGTACGTCCATGATGCATGCGGCTGCCCCCCATTTTCTGTGGCTGTTTGCGGTTCGGTACGCGGCGCATAGGATCAACCTTCAGCCCAGGGTCTCCATGCCGGAGACCTCCTCAGCTTTGCTATGGACGGGGAATGTTGGCAATGCGTCTGCGTTCCGTGTCTAGGGATCTCGGGCGTTTGTCCGCAACTTGTCTGCAGACAAGCTGTCCCCTCATGCTGCTCCCTGCGTCTTCCTTGGCTTCCCCCCTGACACACCAGGGTGGCAGTTCTACCACCCCACCTCTCGCCATGTTCTGTCCTCCTAGGACGTCACGTCTGACGAGTCGGTCCCCTACTACCGTCTCTTCCCCTACCGCACTCTGTCCCTCCCCCTGCCATCGCTCTTCCTTGTGCCAGGTCCCCCCCCCGGTAGACCCCCTTCCCCCTCAGGAACCTGCCCCTTCAGTTGTGTCCCAGGTGGACGCAGTCGAGCCTGTGGAGGTCGCTGGTGACTCTGGTGCTGCTGAGGGTGCTGAGCCTGGGGGTGCTGACTCTGGGGGTGCTGAGCGTGTGGGTGCTACGCCTGGGGGTACTGAGCCTGGGGGTGCTGAGCCTAAGGGTGCTACGACTTGGGGTGCTGAGCCTGGGGGTGCGGAGCCTGAGGGAGCTGGGCCTGCTCGTGTGGTGTCCGGCGGTGCTGGGCCTGGAGGTTCTCCGGGTGCTCCCTCTCGACGGGAGCCACTCTCTCCACAGAAGGTGCGTGAGTGGTTTGCCAGGCGCTGGAGGCGTGCTTCTGGAGTTGGAGGTTCTTCGGCTGCTGAGGGTGCTGGTGCCACGCGTCCCGGAGGTGTTCGTACTGGGAGTATTGGAGCTGCTGGGCCTGCGGGTACTACTGGGGCTGGAGCCACTGCGTCTTCTCGTGGTCCGATTCGAGCTGGAGCTGCTGAGGGTGTTGGCGCTGGCGGTACTGGAGGCGGTCCTGTTGGGGGTACTAATGGTGCTGCTGGAGGTCCTGGAGCTACTCGAGCTGCTGGGGGTACTGGAGCTGGAGGTGCTGCTAGCGCTGGTGCTACCGCTGGGGGTGCTGGAGCTGTCCCTGCTGTGTCTGGAGTCGCTACGCGGCCTCGGCCGTACTTCGTTCCGCTCCTTGAGCAGGTTCTTGGTCTCCCGTCTTCTACTGGTCCTCCTCCTCCCTTAGAGTGTCCACAGCCTGTCCCGTCACAGTTACAGTTACAGCCGGCCTCCCCACTGCCTGCTCCTTCTCCCTACACTGGTCCTACTGGAGGTCTTGCTGAGCGTCGTGAGCATGCGTCTCGTCCTGCGTCGCCTGTTCGTGCTGCTCGCGCTAGTGGTCGTGGTTCGCGTCCGCGACCTCCCCCTGAACCCGGCACGCACCGGATGTCTCTCCGTACGTCCACTGCTCCTCTGAGTCCTCTCTTCCTGCTCTTGCTGACCCACAGTCGGACTCCTTTCGTGCTACCAGTCCGACTGTCACGCGTCTCATTGCTACTGTTGTCACTGACCCTTCCTTTGAGTCCACTGCTGCGTCTGCCCTAGTTGTTGAGCTCGTTGACTTTGCTGCTCGCTGTCGTCTAGACTACGCTGCCAATCTTGTTGCTGCGTCTGAGTCAGTCTGTCCTCCGTCCGTCGGGGGTGAGTGTGCCCTTGGCACGGATGTCCTTGAGGACAGGCAGGAGGAGTTCCAGTGTTTGGCTGCTGCTTCACCTCATCTCGTGTCCGTACTGCGTACCCCTGAGGGAGACCCGCATGCACTTGACATCCCGACTCCGCGCTCTTACGCGGAGGCGATAGAGGGTCCCTACTCCTCTCAGTGGCAGGCAGCTATGGACGCAGAGATGGCTTCCTGGAAGTCCACAGGCACCTACGTTGACGAGGTTCCCCCGCCTGGGGCGAACATCGTCAGTGGCATGTGGATTTTCAGGCTGAAGCGGCCGCCGGGTTCTCCGCCTGTCTTCAAGGCGCGTTACGTGGCTCGTGGCTTCAGTCAGCGGCAGGGAGTTGACTACTTTTATACCTTCTCTCCCACCCCGAAGATGACCACTCTTCGGGTACTGCTGCACATAGCTGCTCACCGTGACTACGAGCTACACTCTCTTGACTTCAGCACTACTTTCTTCCAGGGCAGCCTCCACGAGGAGATCTGGCTGCGCCGCCCACTTGGCTTCACTGGGACTTTTCCTCCTGGCACCCAGTGGAGCCTGCAGCGGCCAGTCTACGGTCTCCGCCAGGCACCGCGTGAGTGGCACGACACACTGAGGACTACGCTTGCGGCTCTTGGGTTTGCTCCCTCTACTGCCGACCCGTCGCTGTTTCTGCGCACCGACACTTCTTTGCCGCCGTTCTACATCCTCGTGTACGTCGACGACTTGGTCTTTGCCACAGCTGACACTGTTGGACTCGCCCACGTGAAGTCCGAGCTGCAGAAGAGACATACGTGCATAGACGTGGGTGAACTGCGCAGCTACCGTGGCTTGCAGATCACCCGGGACAGAGCACGCCGCACCATTACCCTGACTCAGTCACACATGGTGCAGCAGGTCCTTCAGCGCTTCGGCTTCACGTACTCCTCGCCTCAGGCCACTCCTCTGCCTACTCGCCACTCGCTCTCAGCTCTGCCTTCGGATGAGTCCGTAGAGTCGAGTGGCCCGTACCCAGAGCTTGTTGGCTGCCTCATGTACCTGATGACCTGCACACGACCTGACCTTGCATACCCTCTTAGCATTCTTGCACGCTATGTTGCTCCTGGGAGACACAGACCGGAGCACATGGCTGCAGCGAAGAGGGTGTTGCGCTACTTGTGCAGTACGTCGGGCATGGGGCTTGTGCTTGGAGGGTAGAGTCCAGTGGTCCTCACTGGGCACGCAGACGCTTCTTGGGCTGACGACCAGGCTACGCAGCGGTCGTCACATGGTTACATCTTCAGCCTTGGTTCCGGCTCTGTTTCGTGGCGGGCTACCCGCTCGTCTTCTGTTCTCTGCTCCAGTTGTGAGGCTGAGATCTACGCAGGGGCCATGGCTGCACAGGAGCTTCGCTGGCTCACCTACCTGCTGACTGACCTCGGAGAGCCGCCTCGTTCTCCTCCAGTGCTGTACGTAGACAACAAGGCCATGCTGGCCTTGTGTCGGGAGCAGAGACTGGAGCACAGAACGAAGCACATTGCTCTTCGCTACTTCCTTGCTCGTGAGCTACAGCAGCGTGGTCAGCTGCGCCTTGCGTACGTGGCCTTTGAGGCTAACACTGCTGATATCTTCACCAAGGCACTTGCGCCTTGTGATCATCAGCGCTTCTGTACTCAGCTCGGTCTTGTGCCTACCTTGCCTCACTTGCTCACCCCTTGACCTTGTTTGTACTGTTACATATATATATACACCTGCTCTTGCTTGTTTAGCCTTATGTATATATGTAATCCTGCATGTGAACTGCTGTTGTGGCCTTGAACTTGTGCTTGGAATGTGTGGTGACGTTGTGATCCACCCTGAGCTTGCTTTACTTTGCTTGACTGGTCTTGTGACCCCTTGTCCTCCCCCACTTTGCCTATGGGGGTGTGTCAGATTTATATGACTTAGCTGCTGTAGGCTATAGTGGGGTAGCACATATGGGGTACAGCTTTCTAGGGTTTGTACTTGTACCCAACTTTCCCTTAGTCTTTTCATTCTCGTTCAATTTCACAGCCCGAGCCGCGCGCGGGCCTGGCGCAGCCCGTACGGGCCGCGCGCGGGCCTGGCGCAGCCCGTATGGGCCGCGCGCGGGCCGGGCGTAGCCCGTACGGGCCGCGCTCGGGGCTAGCGCAGCCCGCGCTGGCCGGGACGGGCGACGGAGGACGACGGGCTGGTCCCCGTCGCCCGTCGAAGCGCCCCCTGGGGGCGACGCGCGGACCGACGGGGCAGAAGGCCGCCGCGCGCCTCGGGGCGCTCGGCTGGCAGAGAAGCGCCGCACGCCCCGGGGCGCACGGCGGGCAGAAAACCGCCGCACGCTCCGAGCGCGCGGCGGGAAGAAAAATCCGTCGCACGCCACGGGGCGTGCAACACACAGAGTAGCAGCGGAAGCAGTTAGGTGGGCCCACAGGCCAGGAGCGTAGATGCTCTGATAGCATGTTACAAGAGTAAGCATAGTGAGGAGCCATAGCTAGGGTTTAGCTGGATAGGCAAGAGAGAAATGAACAAAGGAGGGGTTTCACTAGCAGCAGTTGGGATACATATAGCAAACCCTAACTGGGTTGTACCCGCTATAGAGCACCCCACTACAGGCTAGATAATAACATTCTGACATCCTCCCCCAATCGTCTGGTGCCTACAGAACGACGTCGTTCTGTAGGCATCACGGAGGTGATGGGAGCGAAAATAGGAAGCTGCCTGCCTCTGCAATTTTTGGTTCGAAATGGCGGTCAGACCGGAAATGCTTACGTGGCAGTCATTTCCCTTCCGAACCTAATCGAAGGGAAATGACTGCAGAACAGTCATTTCCCATCAGGGAAATGCCCCACGAGGAAGGTTCCTATTTCCCCTCACTACCTTCCTCCTCTGGCAAATTTGTTTGCCTTCGCCCCACCATCGGCCACCCACCCTTCACGTGGAAGTGCGATGGTGACGGGAGGGAGGAGGTGGGCGTGTCCCACCCAAAAAAACCAAACACGAAATCACGGTCTAACCCAACCATGATGGTTCGAAGTTGGTTCAAAGGATCCCTTGGGTATTTTGGGGCACGATTTTCTGTATAAATTACCCTCGCTTTACAATGGTCTGGAATTATCCCTCTCTTGGGCGCGCGAAATTCAGCGCGCACTTCGTCATTTCCCTTGGGGAACTTCCGCCCCACCATGCGAAATTTCCCATCTGCTATTTTTGCCCAGGGGGGAAAAGGCGACCTCGGAATCCTCATAGGAACCCTCCTCATTTCCCATCTCCCTCCCTCCACCCCCAATTGTGAGGTGCCTACAGAACGATACCATTGGGGCTGTTCGCCAGCACCATTATAGCAAAAAACAACGGGATTACGACGGGATCAGGAATTTTCCTCTCGCCTTCCTGATCTCGTCAGTTAGAGTTCGTTTACCTTCGTCAGCCGGGTCAGCCCGTGAAAAAAGTGCCGAGCCTCACCTACCGTCCAAACCAACAAACAAACTGGGCGTCTGGCGAACGCCCACTTTTGTCCACCAATTCTAACGTTTCGACGACATATGGAAGCGGGGACGAAACTTCGTCCCCAGGCCAAATACCATCCCCTAGCCATGCTATCGTCATGCCGCGTTTTTCAAAGCACAGCGGTGGCACAGCCGACGCATTGCTGTTCAGAGGGGAACCCTTGAACAAGCCTGCATGTTGACAAAGAGGGGTTCGTATACCCCCCATTTTTCCATCCCAAACACACCTTCGAAATGTCCCCCGCACATAACTTGGTCGTGAGCACGAGGTGGCGGGGGTTGTGTTTGAGCGGGGGGTGTTTTATTTGCGTTTTTAACCCACGCTGAGCAAATTTTGGCCAGCGGGCAGCACAAGGGTTAGTGAGGCTAAACTTTCACGCCACAGGGGGGAAGTTGGGGATGGACCTTCCCGACGCGGTTGCGTAATTTCCCCTTCGTGTGTGCGAAGTTTCTCGGGCGGCATTACGCCCAAACCTCGGAGAAGGGTTCTGCCCCCGTTTCCATATGCGGTCGCGATGCCAATGCCATCGTTTTCTGTTCAAGAATCGATGTGCTGGCGAACAGCACCATTGAGATGGACAGTGGACATTTGGCCAAGGGAAGTTTCCTAGCACAAAACTCAAGCCAGAGTTTTAATAATTTATTTCTATTACTCTTCACATGTCAGGGTGGCCGAGTGGTCTAAGGCGCCGCACTCAAGTTGCGGTCTCGAAAGAGGCACGGGTTCGAACCCCGTCCCTGACTCGTCATGATGCGTTTTTTCGCGCCTCACATTGGTGGTGACACCCGAGTTGACCTGCTCACGTCACCGTCACCCACAAGTTTGTCACTCTGCGGTGCGATGGAAAGCATTGTTTTTCTATCCCCAGCTCGTTGAAGCCAAAATACCGAATTATAAAAAAGCAGCAGGAAGCCTTTTATCGTAGGTAGATTTATCACTGCTGCGATCGCATCAGCCTCCAGATTTATCAGCTTCTCTGATCACATCTGGCGGAGTTTCTAGCTCTGTGGGTCCTAGATTTCAGTTTCTTTTGCAGCTTATTGCCGCGCGCCGGGTATTTATGCATCGACTAGACTAGACGATTCCGGCAACCTCTAGGCTGCTGGCAGCTTCGATTGTGAGCTAACTTCAGAGGCGGCAAACATATCGTCCCCTACGTCACAGTCTGCCAGAAGATTCAAAAGTAATGCTGGGAAGATTGTTCGCGCCTAGCGCAACCATTCCTCCACTTCTCGCTTGTTGCATGCGCCTAGACGGTTGCACGCACTTGTTGCGCGCTCCGTAGGCCACATCGTGAGCGCCGCTTCCAGCCAATGGCATCCTCCTTCCACGCGGCTGCTCGGTCGGCGCGCTTCGCCAACAACGCGCGCGCGGGCCAGCCAAGAGCGAGATCCGTTGCGAATCAGGCGACGACACTCCTCGTAGCCGCCTCTCGTAAGTCGGCAACTAAGTCGCCTGAAACTACTTCTGAGACGTCTCAAACGGCGGGCCCGCCAAGCGCGAGATCCGGCGCGAATCCAGCCCTGAAACTCCTCGTAGCCTCTCGTAAGCCGCGTAGGACGTCTCTAAACCCTCGTAAGACGCCTAAGTCGCCTGAAGCGCAGCGGAGAACGCGGTGGCGCCACGAGCCACAGCAGCAGCAGCAGCAGCAGCTGCTGCTGCAGCAGCAGGGGGAGCAGCAACAACCGGGCGAGGGGGCTCTAGGCCAGAGCTCGCCCGAGCAGGGAATGAAGCCGCCGGTTCTGAAGCGCCTCGGACAAACCCAGCGGCAGAGGAGCGGGCAGCAGCAGTTTGAGCTGCGGATTCTCTCTGACAGACGAGTGAGCCGACAGATGTGTCATATGCATCCCATAGGTGTGGTGGGTTCCAGAGGTCTCGGATCGTCATTGCACCAGCGGCGAAGGAACGAGCAGCAGCATCTTGAGTTGCGGAGTTTTTCGGACAGACGAGTGAGCCGACAGATGTTTCATGTGCATCCCATAGGTGTGGGTTCCGAAGTTCCCGCCTCGTCATCGCACTGTGTTGCGTGGGAGACGGAGGTACGGCAACCCACACACGAGGAGGAAACGCGGTGTCTGACGCGCGAGGAGGAGATTAAGTACACGCGGGCCGTGCAGGATCTGCTGAGATTAAGGAGGTCGCGAGAGCGGTGTGGCGCGGTTGAGTTGTGTTCGTTCTCGAATTTGCAGCACGTGGTCTTGTCTGCTGAGACAGCTTATGAGGAGACTAGGAAGGGGGAGGGGGAGAGGGAGGAGCGGGAGAGGGAGGGGAGGGGAAGGGAGGGGATGGAGAAGGAGGAGTGGGACATGGAGAGGAGGGGAAGGGAGGGGATGGGAAAACTACTGGATGCGAATGGTGGGATGGTAGTGGGTCTGGCGCGGAGATATGCAAGCAGGAGAGTGACTGTGGGGAGGGAGGAGTATGAGAAAGAGAAGAGGGGTAGGGAGGGTTTGGAGAAGCTGATGGGTGCGAATGGTGGGATGGTGGTGGGTCTGGCGCGGAGATATGCGAGCAGGAGAGTGACTGTGAGGAACTTGATCGTGGTAAGATGTGACTAAAACGAAGGGTGTTTACATTTGAGGGTGATTGAGGTGAGGAGTTGCATGTAAAGGGATGGGACGGTGGTTGGTCTGGTGCAGGGATACAGGAGGAGGAAGTGACTTTGAGAATGTTCATCACGGTTAGAGGTGACTATAGTGAAGATTCAGGTGAGGGTGTATTTTTGTGAGCAGCATGATACATATTTTATGGTCGATTTGTTTGCAGCGAGATGAGTTGTTAGGTGGGTTTATTGTTAATTGTGTTGTCGTTATTATTGTTCATCAGGTTTCTAGTCACTCTTTGACCCTAAAATATTTTCTGTTTTTATGTTGTATGCTTTGTCTTGTCGCTGCAACAGGCAGGATACGGGGGGCTTATAGAGGGGATAAAGAGATTCGATCCTGGCCGTGGATTCCGGCTCTCCACGTACTGCTATTGGTGGATCCGACACGCCATCATTCAATCAGCCGTGGACCAATCTTCCATAATCAAGCTCCCTGTGAGTGCCACGTGTCACATACATACACGTGGCACATACATACACGTGGGACATGCATACACGTGGCACATACATACATACTGGAACATGCACATGTCCTGGACCACATGCCATAATCCCTTCACATAACCATTTGGACGTCACTGATTCAATCCATGCCTTCCCATTGACACCTCAGCTTTTCACGTCATCTTCAACAAGGTTCCTGCCCCTCTCCCCCCATTCCATCCCGCGCTCTCCTTTGTTCTCCCCTTCACCAACTCACCCTCCCCAGATTTTCCAGCTTCCAATCCCCGTCCTCCTTCCTCCAGGCGCACTCGTACTGTCAGCAACATGCTCGCCCACCATCATCGATCCATTTCCCCATTTTCCCCTTTCCCCCCGTTCTCCTCTTTTCCCTGTCTTGTTGCCCCCCTCCTTTCCATCGCTCTCTCTCCATTTGCCTGCCTTTCCCTCTTTGTCTTCTCATACTCCCACAATTTTCTCTCCATCCAATTCCCTGCTTCCAAGGCATACATGCACCGTCAGCACATGCTCGCCAGTCGGCGCCCCGCACCGCCATCCACGTCAGCACTGCCGTCCACGTCAGCACCACCGGTTGAGTCAAAGCAGAATCGCAGACTCACCCCGGGATCTGTGCGCTCGCCTCGGTCTTTGGAAGGGGACGTGGGGACAGGGGAGAGCCTTGGGGTGAGTGTTGCGAATGTGACTTTGAGTCAAGTCATAAGTCACTTTGGAAGGGGGCGCAGGGACAGGGGAGAGATCTGGGGTGAGTGCTTGAGACATGGGTCATGTTAATCGATTATACATGCGTGCTCCATAGCCTTGAGTTTACCATGTACCAGTACTATGCATTATGTTCCATGCACCATGCACAATGCACCACGCACCGTATACCATGTAACATGCACTTTGCACCATGCACCATGCTCGGTATACCATGTACCATGTGACATGCGTCATGCTTCCTGGTCTATATAATCCTGCCCCTGTAAAGCAAATTGCCCTTCTGCTTTCATGACTCACCGCCCAATTCATCCCGTTCAGCCCACCTTCCCCTCGTCCCCCCAACTTCCCCCACCTCACTCAACTCCCCCCATTGAACTCCCCACCATCCCCCTTCCCCCCCCTCCAGCCCACCATCCCTGATCCCGCTATAGAGTGCCCCGGGACTCGATATATGCAGCATGAGCTGCAGGGCGCATTGAAGCAAGCCATTCTCGGGCTCTCACACCAAGAGTGGCCGTAATCTCCCCCCAATCTCCCCCCCTCCCCCCAATCTCCCCCCCTCCCCCCAATCTCCCCCCCTCCCCCCAATCCCCCTCCTCCAGTCCACCATCCCCGACCCCGCTATTGAGTGCTCTGAGATTCGCTACATGCAGCAGGAGGTGCAGGGAGCGCTGAGGCAAGCCATTCTCGGGCTGTCACCCAAAGAGCGAGCCATAATTCAACTCAGATTTGGCCTGCCAGAATCTCTTCTGGAAGATTGCCGCCCGGCAAATTATCTCCTCAAAGGTTGCCGCCGGCCTGATCCTCTCCTCAAAGATTCGCTCCAGATGGATGGCTGCTCGGCCGATTGCAACTGTGGGGGCAATGGGCTTGGGGGCGGCGCCGGGCAGCAACAGGGGCGGCAAATTATCGTCGGTTGTGCAAAGCAGGAGGGGAGGCATAGTGAGATGAGGAAAACCATGCAGGAGGTGGGGGTGATGGTGGGGTTGACAGGAGGGCGGGTGCAGCAGATACAAACAGCAGGGTTGGGTAAGATGAGGAGGAGCATGACAGGTTGGGAAGGGTATGTGCATATGTGGGGGAATTGAGAGGGGTGCAGTGGGATGTGGAGTGAGGTGTGCAGTTGGTTTTTGCAGGGAGGTGTGCAGTGACATGAGTGCAAACATCGGATTATGCTGTTAATATATGATGGGCATAATTCAATATACACATTGTGTATATATTGTTGTGATCTTTAGAACATTTCACAGCTTGTGGAGGAGGTGGCCTAGCGGATTTCCCTTCACATTGTCTCAGGGATTTTGGGCTTGCCACCTACCAACCTCTCTTCTGATCTCAGATGTTCCTATCCCATCTATATGCTTTTTGTACCTACGTCTCTACAATGACAGGTCATTGGTCAACTCGATATTTCTGTCATACCTAGAAGTTGAATATACAGCAGAAATATTTCGAGTACACAAGGCCAACAGGACACTACTGCGTGCACACAGCAACTAGTTGTGAAAGACACGGACAATGGGAGGTTCTATTTACTAGGCCAAGGGTGGTTGAGAACTTGAGAAGCTGGGGGGGTGGATGGATGGAAGGAGTGATCTTCGGTGATAGAGTGTGGGTAATAGCGGGTGATAGGAGCGGGTGATAGGAGTGCGTGGGTGCTGCCAGGCATCTGTGCTGACAGGGTTGGTGGGTGCAGGGTAGGTGTGGGATGGGTGCGGGTGATAGGAGCAATGGTGGGCAAGTGGGATGCGCTCCAGGGATGGGTTTGCAGGTAGGATGTTGGGCAGTGGGATGGGTGTGGCTGATTGTGTGTGTGCTTGTGCCTGTGGCCCTACCTATTGCTTCTACTCCAGCTATGAGATACCGCGTCACCCATCCCCTCTTGAGCTTGTGCTAGTGCGCGTGGTGCTCCTTCTCGTGCGCATACAGCTCCTCCTTGTGTGCCTTGTCCGATGCAAACTCCTCAATCCAGACTTATGCTCTTTCTCCTTCTCCTTGTTGAAGCAGTCCCCTCCTCCCTCTAGTGCTTGTGCTCGTGCGCGTGGAGCTCTTTGTCATGCGCGTGCAGCTCCTCCTTATGTGCCTTGTCTGGTGCAAACTCCTCGATCCAGTCCAGCGTGATGCTCTTTCTCCTTCCCCTTGTTCATGCTTGTGCCCCCCCACCTCCCTCTAGTGCTTGTGCTCGTGCGCATACAGCTCCTCCTTACGTGCCTTGAGCGATGCAAACTCCTCAGATTCTCCTCTCTTCCAATGCTCCTTCTCCTCCCTGCTCTCCTTTGTGCCCCCCCTTTCCACATCTAGTGCTTGTGCTCGTGCGCGTGCTGCTCCTCCTTATGTGCCTTGTCCGAAGCAAACTCCTCGATCCAGTCCAGTGTGATGCTCTTGGGGCGTTCGATGGGGAAGCCCAGGGCGCGGTCCCACACAAGCTGCAGTGAGGGAGAGAGATGGAGGGGGGTACACGGGGGGGGGAGCAGGAAAGAAAGGGTGTTGGGATGGTGATTTAACTCCAGTCGAGCGTGTTGCTCTTGGGGCGCTCGATGAAGAAGCCCAGGGCGCGATCCCACACAAGCTGCAGTGAGGGAGAGAGATGGAGGGGGGTACACGGGGGGGGGGGAGCAGGAAAGAAAGGGTGTTGGGACGGTGATTGAACTCCAGTCGAGCGTGTTGCTCTTGGGGCGTTCGATGAAGAAGCCCAGGGCGCAGTCCCACACAAGCTGCAGGTAGGGGAAAGAGAAGGAGGAATGCGAGCGGGTTAGAGATAGTGATGGAATGTGTGTGTCCAGAGGGCGATGCTCCTGGGGCGCTCGATGGGGAAGCCCAGAGCACAGTCCCACACGAGCTGCAGGTAGGGGAACGAGGAGGAAAGCGAGCGTGTTAGAGACAGCGATGGAATGTGTGTGTCCAGTCAGGGGTTATGCTCTTGGGGATGCTCGATGGGGAAACCCTAAAAATGGTCCCACACAAGCTGATTGGCCCAAAAAATGACTCGGTGTCATGCACTGTAGTCGAAATCATGATTTAAAATTAAAAAAAGATCGCTCTCTGGATACGGAAACCCAGGACACAGTCCCACATGAGTTGATCAAGTCATTGTAAGGGACTGAACAGTTTTGGAGGTCAGAAAGACGGCATGAATGATCCACCTGTGACTATACCTGGAGCTGCACCTGAGAGTAGGTAACTGTTTAAGGAAACCACCTGCGGGAGCACCTGAGAGCAACAGACCCACCTGAGAGCAACAGACCCACCTGAGAGCAACAGACCCACCTGAGAGCAACAGACCCACCTGAGAGCAACAGACCCACCTGAGAGCAACAGACCCACCTGAGAGCAACAGACCCACCTGAGAGCAACAGACCCACCTGAGAGCAACAGACCCACCTGAGAGCAACAGACCCACCTGAGAGAGCACTCCCATGGCTCGTGAGACACCGAAGAGAACGGTGTAGTAGCTGGAGGGAGGGGAGGGGGGAGGGAGATGCAGTAATGGGAGAGAGTGAGAGAGAGGAGAGAAGGTGACCATGAGTCACTAGCAAACAAGCTTGAGAGGCAGCAAAGAGCATCGTGCAGAGGGGAGCGAGAGTGTGGGGGAAAGAAGAGAGGAAGTGGAGAGAGACAAAAGGCGGAGAAGAAAACGTTACTTAGAAACGAACGCTCTGACGAGCAGGACTGATTTTGAGTCGACGTAAGGGCGTGTCCAGTTCGTTCATTTCGGGATTTTTCGTGCCAACGCACGTATCGAGGTTCAAAAGTGACTACCGTACCTAGAAACGAATGCATTGTGAGTGGAGTCCAACCATCCTGTAATTTCAGAAGCGCGGACACATTCCCCGCCACACGAATCAACAGTTCTCTGACCACGTTGAAAACGAGGTAACAGTTTCCCTCGTCAATCATAGCTTGAAAATTTTTGTGCAGGCGCAGGGGGCGCTGGCGAGTAGAGCGAACCACTGACGAAATCGTGCAAGCGATACAAGGGAAACGAACTGTAGTGGCCAGGACGCGGTGCTGTACCCTTGTTCGCGTCCCTGCTGATTCCAGTAACGTGAGTCAGACGACTCTAGGTACGTGCATGGGGGGTGTCCTCTTGCGAACAGAAGCTGATTGTGTCCGCTGGACATGTTCAATAAAGGGTTACCACAAAAAATGTGGTAACTGAGGGGGTTTACGAACAGTAAATGTACGAGCTGGACCCCCCCTAAAGTCAGGCGGAGAAGAAAAGGTTCCTTAGAGACGGATGCTCTGACGAGCAGGACTGAGCAGTGTGCACGGTGGACAGGGGGGCGCTGCACTAGAGAACAAATGCAGCCACCCACCTGGCCTCGGTGAGCCCGTAGTGCTGCAGCAGCACGCCGCTGTGCGCGTCCACGTTGGGCCAGGGGTTCTTGACCTTGCCGGTCTCGAGGAGAATATGCGGCACCACCTCGTAGAGGTTGGATACCTGCAGCAGAGGGAGGAGGGGATGGGGTGGAATAAGGGAGGAACGGAGATGAAGGGAGTGCACGTTGCGCCAGGGGTTCTTTGCCTTGGCCGTCTCGAGGAGAATATGGGGCACCACCTTGTAGAGGTTGGATACCTGAGGGAGGGAGGGGGAAATTTGGTGCAGAAGGAGACAATGAGCAGGAGAATCAGTGGTAACGGCGCTGTGAGGGGGCGCTGTGAGGGGGCGCTGTGAGGGGGCGCTGTGAGGGGGCGCTGTGAGGGGGCGCTGTGAGGGGGCGCTGTGAGGGGGCGCTGTGAGGGGGCGCTGTGAGGGGGCGCTGTGAGGGGGCGCTGTGAGGGGGCGCTGTGAGGGGGCGCTGTGAGGGGGCGCTGTGAGGGGGCGCTGTGAGGGGGCGCTGTGAGGGGGCGCTGTGAGGGGGCGCTGTGAGGGGGCGCTTGAGGGCGAACTGGGCTGGAATTGATCATCCTCAGCACGGCATGTCCATAGCCTGGCACCACCTTGGGAACTCCAAATAAAAGACAGCTTGAAGGTGGGGTCGTGCGGCAGGTGCTTGAGCGCGAACTGGCGCTGGCAGCTGTAGCGGGGGTCGGTCAACCTCAGCACTGCGTGACCTTGGCCGGCACCACCTTGCTGCTCTGCAGCGTGCGGCCATACCCCGGCACCACCTTGGGAATTACTCACCAGCTTGAAGGTGGGATTGTGAGGCAGGTGCTTGAGCGCGAACTGGCGCTGGCAGCTGTAGCGCGGATCTGCCACCCTCAGCACAGCGTGGCCATACCCCGGCACCACCTTGGGAACTCCTAATAGAAGAATTAGACACTCACCAGCTTGAACGTGGGATTGTGAGGGAGGTGCTTGAGAGCAAACTGGCGCTGGCAGCTGTAGTGTGGGTCGGTCACCCTCAGCACAGCATAGCCATACCCCGGCACCACCTTGGGAACTCCTAGAACATCAACCACTCACCAGCTTGAACGTGGGGTCGTGAGGGAGGTGCTTGAGAGCAAACTGGCGCTGGCAGCTGTAGCGGGGATCGGTGACCCTCAGCACAGCATGGCCGTAGCCCGGCACCACCTTGCCGCTCTGCAGCGTGCGCCACACGAAGTCCCTCAGCTCGTCCTTGCCTGCTTCCTCCCCAACGTCCGCCTTGACTTCTTCCAACCACCGCAGCACCTCCTGTGGTGGGGGATAGGGGAAGAGACAGAGACAGAGACGGGAAGAGGGTGGCACGTGAGAGAGTCTACTCATCTCCTTGCCGCTCTGCAGCGTGCGCCACATCAATTCCCTTGCTTCGTCCTTGCCTGCCTCCTGCCCCACGTCCGCCTTGACTTCTTCCAGCCACCGAAGCGCTTCCTATGGTGGGGAAAGATTGGGGCGCAGAGGGTGAAGAGGAGGCGGAAAGCAGAATAAGGGAGGGAGAAGCAGGGGACAGAGGGGGTGAGGTTAGGGTGGGAGGTGTAGACGAGGAATATTTGCAACCCAAGTGCTGCTGCTGGACCTAGGCTCTTCTATTGCAATGAACCGTGTCAAACCGCTCTGAACCAATTCATTTATAAGAAGGGCGGGTTGGAAGGGCACTGGTGACTTGCCTGATTGGCGAGGCCGTGCAGAGGACCCGCGAGACCATTGAGGCCAGCCGCAAAGGAGAGGTAGGGGTCGGAGAGGGCGCTGCCCACCTGTTGGGGAGGGGGGGACGCCCAAGAAAAGAGAGAAAAGGGACGAGGAGGAAGGGGCGTTGATGCCAGCCGCAAAGGAGAGGTAAGGGTCTGACAGGGCGCTGCCCACATGTTGGGATGGGAAGCAACGCGGGGAGGAGATGGGGAGAGAAAAGGGTTGAGGAGGAGATGGAGAGGAGGAGAGAGTTGGGGAGAAGGGGAGAAAGATGAGGAGTTGAGAGGTGGGGATGGAGGGAAAAGGATGGGGGGGGAGAGGTAGGGTTGTGGTTTTTCCGTGGTTGAGTGTGATGATGAGGAGTTGGGGGGAGGGGAAGTGGGCTTTACAGTTGAGGGGGGGGGGAAGCGAGAGGGGGGCGAGGGGAGAAGGGGGCGAGTGGGGAGAGGGGGGCGAGTGGGGAGAGGGGGACGAACAGGGAGAGGGTTGCAAGCAGGGAGAAGGGGGCAAGTGGACGAGAAGGTGGAAATGCGACTAGAAGAAGCGGGCGAATGGGCAAGACAAGGAAGATGGAAGTAACAGTCGCTCTCACCAGGTGGGTGGCATGTGCGCTGACGTTGCCTCCCTCGTGATCGCTGCTTGCAAGCAGTCGCACACACGCGCAGGGGCACACACACGAACGGACATACACACACATAAACATGAACACACGCAAACGTGCACGCACACAAGTGCATGCATGCACACACCCGGACACATACACGCATGCACACAAAGACACACAGAAGCAAGGAGCACACGCATTAAATTATAAACGCACAAGGAGGGATCATGTGGATGTGAACCCGTGCAAGGAGGGCGCAGAGCAAGGGATCTATGATGGAGGCATGTTCTAGAATACTCAAAAATTACTCCCAAGGAACCTGGCAGGTGAAAGTCTACGGTTCAGAATAGTGCAGCGCTCATGCGTGGATATGGTGAGGTAGAGGCGCATGAGATCATGGAACTGCGGGTCGTTGAACCCCAGCATACGTCAATTGGTCAGCCTTAAACCCTAAACCTTGACCTGAAACCCAAAGGTCTAGAGTTGAGAGGGTGGATGGGCTCACGCGTGGATGGTGAGGTAGAGGCGCATGAGGTCGTGGAACTGGGGGTCGCTAAATCCTAGCATGTGTGCGAAGTTGGCGGCATAGTCGAGCTTCTCATTGGGCGGGATGATCTTGCCGTCCTTGAACGTGTGCCTGTAGATGTGGGCTGCCACCTGGTGGGGTTTAGGGGTTTTGGGGTTGGGGGAGTTGCAATGCAGCGAGGTGAATGGGAAGAGTTAGCAGAGGAGTCAGGTCGAGCTTCTCATCGGCAGAATGATCTTGCCGTCCTTGAACGTGTGCCTGTAGATGTGCGCTGCCACCTGGTGGGGTCAAGGAGAGATGTGGAGCGGGGTTAAGAGAGAAATGACTGCTTTTTCTGATCTGCGGCAGCGTAGCAATGAGATCCAAGGCATCTTTAAAAGCGAGGTGCCAGTACTTGCTCTTGGGCATGCCCTCGTGGTACCTTGGTATAGAAGCGGACTCAAGTGTTACCGTGGAGTGCCAGCAACTGACCTGGGGCAGCGTGGCAATGAGATCCAAGGCGTCCTCATAAGCCAGGTGCCAGTACTTGCTCTTGGGCATGCCCTCGTGGTACGCGCGTGCGAAGCGGCTGCCCTTCTGCAGAGCCATCACACCGATGGACAGCTGCGTCATGGGGTGCATGTCGCGGGGCAGGGCGTTCAGCACCGTGTGCACGTACTCTGAAAGGGGGAAGGTTTGGGGAATACAGAGGGAAGGGTCAAGTTGGGTGAGGAGCCATCACGCCGATGGACAGCTGCGTCATGGGGTGCATGTCACGGGGGAGTGCGTTCAGCACCGTGTGCATGCACTCTGATAGGGACAAATGGAAGTGGTTTGGAAGGGCGAGGGGGAGAGGGAAGGGCTATGAGAGAACAGCCATCACATCAATAGACAGCTGCGTCATGGGGTGCATGTCGCGGGGCAGGGCGCTCAGCACCGTGTGCACGTACTCTGAAGGGGTGTGCAGGGGGTGGAGGAGTGGAAGAGAGGAAGGGTTGTTTGGAAACAGCCATCACACTGATGGGCAGCTGCGTCATGGGGTGCATGTCTCGGGGGAGGGCGTTCAGCACCGTGTGCACGTACTCTGATGGGAGCAATGGTGCAGTGGAGTGGAATGGGGGGGGGGCGAGGGGGAGAAGGGAAGGGATATGTGTAAAGAGGCATTGGGCCGATGGACGGCTGCATCATGGGGTGCATGTCGCGAGGCAGGGCGTTGAGCACTGTGAGCACCGTGTGCACGTACTCTGGTGGTTGGCGGTGTTCAAGGGAGGTGGGAGGAGGGAGGGAAGGAGGGATGATAAGCTATCAAGTCAACATTCTCCCACACCCCCTCCAAACGAATCAGGGATCGTTCATACACCCACAACCCATACGACGCGTATCAGGCAACTTCTTACCCACGCCCCCTGCCAGATGTATCGGACAACTTAAACCCACGCCCCCTGCTCAACATACCAGGCATCTTGGCTCGCTCGTGCAGCTCATGCGTCACTGTGGCCGCCTGCTCTCTGGTGGGCACCTGTGTTGGGGACGAGGGGGTGACAGGGCACACAGCGGACAGGAAGAGGGTGAAGAATCTGGAGCGGTGAGAGCGTTTTCAAGTGAGGGAGTGCGTGCGTGCTTGTGCTCGGGCGTGTGTGTTTGTGTGTGTGTGTGTGTGTGTGTGTGTGTGTGTGTGTGTGTGTGTGTGTGTGTGTGTGTGTGTGTGTGTGTGTATGTGTGCGCGCGCGCGCTTGTGCATGCGGGAGCAGCGTACCTCGCCGGTGAGCAGCAGCCAGAGCAGCCCCTCGGGCATGGGCTCGCCGTCCATCACGGTTACAAGCAGCGAGAGTTGGCTTTTGAAAAATAGGCGAGATTTTGTCTACATGTGTGTGTGAAATGTTGCAGTCGGTCTATGTGTGAGTGTGCGACTGTGCGCACGCACAGAAACCCCCACTGCATACCTCGCTGGTGAGCAGCAGGCCCTCAGGCATGGGCTCGCCATCTATCACGGCTAAAGCAGTCAGCGCTGGCTCTGGTGATAGGCGAAGTTTGTCTCACTGTGCGTGTGTGGTGAGCAGACACTCTTGTTAGCGCGTGTGCGATCTACCGTTCACTCACTCATGCATAACGCCCCCCCCTCTGCGTACCTCGCCGGTGAGCAGCAGCCAGAGCAGCCCCTCGGGCTGGGCTCGCCGTCTATCACGGCCTTGGGTAGCAGAAGATGGCACTGGGAGAAAGGCGCGCGTGTGCGATATGCTACAGTCTGACAATGTGCGTGTGTGCGGATGCGCACACGCACAGCTCCCCCCCTCTGCGTACCTCGCCGGTGAGCAGCAGCCAGAGCAGCCCCTCGGGCATGGGCTCGCCGTCTATCACGGCCTTGGGCAGCAGGTGCTGGCACTCGGGGATGCTGTACCCGCGGAACTTGATGCCCTGGGGAAGGGAAGGGAGGAAACAGAAGATGAGCGCGCGGAAGTGGGGAAGGAAACGAGGGCGACGAGGAGGGGGGAGGCAATGGTGGGCGCATTCACGCGATTACTGCGTTCTTCATGCTGGGAGAGGCACTCGAAATATGCAGCTGTTGTGCATCGGTACGGGGTCGACTTGTGCTCTGCAATCCATGCATTTCCTACATAACTGCTCCGGGTCGAGCTGTTCTTTAGAGTGACTCAGGCTAACCAGTGCAATCCATGCACTTGCTACATAACTGCTCGATGCTACATACCTGCTCGGGGTCGAGCTGTGACGTCTCCCACACCAACCCCTTCACCCCTCGCATTCCTCCGATCGCCTGCTCGCACAAATCACCAAAAATACGGAAATCAGGAACGAAGATGAGCAACACAACCACGTGTGCGTATTTGTTTTGAGACATCTCAAAACCAATCGCACAAATCACCAAGAATAGGACGGAAATCAGGAACGAAGATGAGCAATATACAACCACGTGTGCGTAGCCGCCCGGCTTGAGCGCAGCTTCGCTCGTAGAAAGTATAGTGATGAGATAGCTGCGACACGTTTGTCAGATCAAAGCGGTAATCCGACGACGAGACTGAGGGGGCGAGGGAGAAAGGGAGAGAGCGCGGCTCACCATGTTGACGGTGACCTTGCCCATGGACAGGTTGCCGTAGTGCGATGTGGTGTGATGGGATGTGGTGTGATGTGATTGTGATGGGATGTGGTGTGATGTGATGCGTGCAGATTACCTCACGATCAACAAGAGCGGCTCACCATGTTGACGGTGACCTTGCCCATGGACAGGTTGCCGTAGTGCGACTTGATCTGCCGAATGCGCTCCTGCTGCTGCGGAACCACCTCCTGCAGCTTCGCGTGCAGCTCCTGAAACGCACACGGCGGAAGAACGGGAGGATGGAACGGGTGCGAGAACGCAAAGCATTTCAGATGTTTAGCGGAGTCTGCCCTTGGGCAGCGTCGATTTGTACGCCAGACGTGTAGTGGAGAGCGGAACGGTTTACTTTAAGATTAGTCATGGCAGGGATCAGGTATGGAAGGGATCAGGCATTGAAAGGACCACGAATGGGAAGATGAGGCTTGGCACGGTCAGGCATAGAAGGGATCAGGCATGGAAAGGATAAGGAATGAAAGAAGGCATAGAAGGGATCAGGCACGGAAAGGAAAAGGAATGAAAGAAGGCATAGAAGGGATCAGGCATGGAAAGGATAAGGAATGAAAGAAGGCATAGAAGGGATCAGGCATGGAAAGGATAAGGAATGAAAGAAGGCATAGAAGGGATCAGGCATGGAAAGGATACGGAATGAAAGAAAGATTAGAAGGGATCAGGCATGGAAGAGATCAGGCGGATGCGTGGACCGCGACGAAAATCCGTACATTCAGCATTTTCTAAAATCTCATCCGATACTTGCTGTCGCTTACCGTGGTCAATGGGCGAAATGCCTGATTAAAGAGGCGCGAGAAACTCCCATCCTTCTGGCTCTGACATCAGGAAAGTAGCATTATTGGCTTAGCATGTGATATCGCACGGAAAGTATGAAACACGACAGACAGCTCACATTGTAAGCACATATTAAGCAAACGATCTTCTAGTTCTAGTGTTCTGCCTGCACAGAGTAAGCATGACGACGCAAATACCCACCCTCTTCACGGCGTTTGCTGCCCGAAATAGACTCCGCGAGAACGCCATGGCTGTCAGGCAAGCCGGGAAATGGACCAGCGAACACAAGAGACACAGTCACTCGGGTTTGCACCCAGCTGCTACGCTCTCTCTGAATATCAGAACGTCTACAAATACCCAGGACCTGATTCCTGATGAATCCTGGAATATTTGGCTCGGCTGTAACTTCCACCAGCTCTGATGAAAGTATGAAGCCAGACCAGATGTGTCTGTTGCAGTGTCCTTGTTAATTCTGCACTGTGGCCCCCGGTATAAGAACAATTGCCTGGTAGAGTTTCTCGCCGGGCAAGCTGCAGCAATATTGTCACCACGTGGCACGTTTTGGTTGCTTGAAAGGCCGGAACTTGTTTAGGTCAAATCGGGTTCTTTGGGTACCACGTGGGACAGCGGTGGCTGTCATTCCCATGATTGGTCAATAGACCTCGAGAATACATTACAGCTCACCAGGGAGTCTCAATAGTAGGCGCAGCTCTTCGTACGTGATTGGTTACGATTTGACTGGCCCCGTTTTTCTGTGGCATTTCCGAAACAATCACACATTCTTCTGACTTATGCAAGGAGGGTAGTGTTCGGACCATATTACACGTTTTTCTGTCAACAAAATAAATCATCCATTATGCGTACAATCATTTGCAAAAGCAAGCCTCATCACATGGCACAACACAGGGGCGTGTCATAGAGTTTGCTTTTCTTCGAGCGCTGCCCAATGCTCTCTATGAAGCAAACCAATCGCTTATGCTACAACTTAGTAGCGACCCTTTGCCTTGTTGGCCTGAGTGGGTTGAATAGGGCAGACGGCATGCAAAGAGTGACATATTATTAACAGATGGAACCATCTCCAAGAAAGAACTGCAGCAAAGAAAACCGGGCTACTTACGGAGACGCGTGTGAGCCTCTTGCCAGTCCCGCGAGGCCGATTTCTGGGCTCCTTGAGGCGGTAAATGCGGACCATCCAGTGCTGCGACGTGAACACCTGAAACAAAATAACAGGATTCATAAACCATAAGCCCATATCTGCGACATGGAAGTTTCTAAACATCAGTCAGACGCAAATGCGGCTTGGGGGACGGAGACAAAGTGCGGCTATAAGAACACACGAAACGTCATGGACTCAATTTCTTCCTGCCTTGATTTCATCACTTGACCATTCAAAGCAGCAGCCACCTAGCATTCGCTGCACACAGATTGCGAGAGGCAACAACTCCACCAACCTGAAGCCTCTGACCGCCTCAACGTGCGTCATGTTGTTGTTCTGTTCTTGCCTTCCCCATACGCCCTCTGAGTTGCACAGGCTGAGCAGCTGAGCATGCGTACATATTATTCCAAATCCAAGGAGAAAGAAAATGAAACCTTTAACCTCACCTCCTCAAAGTGAGTGAGCTTGATGTTCTTCTTGCCTATCTCCGTGCGCCTCACCCGGTCAAAGCCCCTCCCGTCCACCTCTGCGAACCTGCCAGCACAGTACAGCAAGGAGGACAGCACACACCAATATACGGCACACACAAACATAGTAGGAGAGCTTGTACTAACGAGTGAGCTTATGTCGAGTACGTGCCTTACCTGTAGTAAAAAGGCTTGTACATGAGGCGGTTGAGCATGGTGGTGGTGAGCAGTTAAGAGAGCTTGTACAAACGAGTGAGGTTATATTGAGTACGTGTCTTACCTGTAGTAGGAGAGCTTGTACATGAGGCAGTTGAGCATGGTGCTGGTGGCCTCTCCATCCACCCGGTAGTTGCCGTTGTTCTGGTGGGTGGGGGTGATGGTGGGGGACAGAGGAATGGATGGGAGGAAGAGGGAGGGGGAGGACGGGGGCACTTGTGACGCGTGAGGAATCTCAAGGCATGGTGCTGGTGGCCTCACCATCCACCCGGTAGTAGCCGTTGTTCTGGCGGGGGGGGGGGTGATGGTGGGGGACAGAGGGAGAGGGGGGAAGAAGGGGGTGGGGGCGACGAGGGCACGTTTGAAGGTGCCTCAAGGCATGGTGCTGGTGGCCTCTGCATCCACTCAGTAGTTGCTGCCATTATTCTGACCGGGGGAGTGGGGGAGAGGGGAAAGGAAGGGAGAATGGGAGGAACATGGGGCGGACGAAGGAGATTTTGAGGTGCCTCAAGGCATGGTTTTTTTTTTTTTTTTTTTGGCTTGCCCGGCTTCGCCGGAACCCTAGTGTAAGCAGGCTTCCGCCGTCCGCACTAGGTAGCCCCGAAGAGAATCATGCCCTATGAAGCAAAGCCCTCAGGGTAGATGCCTCAATTTTGAGGTGCCTCAATTTTGAGGTGCCTCGAGGCATGGTGCCTCAAGGCATGGTGCTGGTGGCCTCTGCATCCACTCTAACATGTAACCACGTTCAAAGACTCTCAAAAGCCATCTCCCTGTGCACTCACCAGGTAGTCAGGCTCCCTGATCCGCGGAAACACCCCGCCTCCGATCCGCACCATCCAGAGGAACTTGTTGATATCGTCGCTGGGATAGCCCACCATGCCTGTGGGGTAGGGGGACAGGCATGGTGGTTGGCAGAAGAGAGCGCAGAGAGGGGGGAATGTTGTGAGTGGTGCAGGTGTTGCGATGCACACCATCCAGAGGAACTTGTTGATGTTGTCGCTGGGGTACCCCACCATGCCTGTGAGACACAGGAGGTGGAAGAGCAAAAGAAGGGGAAGCGGGGGGGCGAGCAGGCGGGATGGTTCATGTGTTGCAATCCGCACCATCCAGAGGAACTTGTTGATGTCGTCACAGGGATACAGGGATAGCCCACCATGCCTTAGTCTGTAGAGAGGCGAACGGAAGGGATGGGTCAGAGAGGGACAACAGTGCAGATCAGATTGTTATCTGGCTGTTGATCCGCACCGTCCAGAGGAAGTGGCCTACGAGGTATTAGCGAGTGAAGAATGAGGAGATTAGGAGGGGAAGGGGAGAAGGGAGCACACAGGTGGTAATGCCCCTGGTGGCAATGCGGGTGTTCTTCCACGTGTTGTGACAACGCTCCCAACACCACAAAGCTCACCTCTCAACACATAACAGCGCATCCTTTACCCAACACTCTCTCACAATACGTGCTTGCCACAGCCGACCTACCTCCGAACACCACGAAGACGTATTTGACGTCGATGGATCAATAGATCGCCCAGGCGTCCTTCTCCCGGGATGACATGGCCATGCCCACCGCGGCAATGTGCGTGTTGATCCACGTGTTTGAACTTTAATGTGTGCATATGCCGTTGCCGACCTACCTCCGAACACCACGAACACATATTTCACGTCGATGGATCGATAGATCGCCCAGGCGTCCTTCTCCCTTGATGACATGGCCATGCCCACAGTGGCGATGTGCATGTTGTTCCACGTGTTTGAACTCTCACGCGTGTGTACCCCATCGCCGACCTACCCCCGAACACCAAGAAGACGTATTTCACATCGATGGAGCGGGAGATGGCCCAGGCCTCCTTCTCCCGTGACGACATGGCCATAGTGGCGATGTGTGTGTTGTTCCAACATGCCCAATATGACTTTTGAGGCGCCTCAAAAGATGTGCGTGTTGTTCCAACATGCCCAATATGCCTTTGACATAGGCCTATGCCTATCCCATTCCCAACGTACCTCCAAACACCACAAACACATATTTGACGTCGATGGAGCGATAAATCGCCCACGCGTCCTTCTCCCTGGATGACATGGCCATGCCCACAGTGGCGATGTGCGTGTTGTTCCACGTGTTGTTATCAACAATGACTGTGCGGTTCGCCATGGCTGTTGTCTGGTAACCATAATCCCACCAGGACGCCACCTGGTGGGGGTGATTATGCCATGAGGAGCGCATGTGGGGAAGGGAGGGGAAGGGAGGGGAAGGGAAGGCCAACAGTGGCGATGTGAGTGTTGTTGTCCACGATCACCGTGCGGTTCGCCATAGCGGTTGTCTGGTACCCATAGTCCCACCACGATGCCACCTGGTGGGGATGAGTATGCCACGAGGAGGGCATGTGGGGAAGGAAGGGGAAGGGAAGGCCAACAGTGGCGACGTGAGTGTTGTTCCACGTGTTGTCCACGATCACCGTGCGGTTCGCCATGGCTGTTGTCTGATACCCATAGTCCCACCACGATGCCACCTGGTAGGGTGTGGGCACATGGAAAAGGGAGGGCGTGTGGGAATGGAGAGCATGTGGTAAAGTGAGTGTTGTTCCACGTGTTGTTGTCCACGATCACTGTGCGGTTCGCCATTGCGGTCGTCTGATACCCATAGTCCCACCACGATGCCACCTGATGGGGGGGGATATGACATGAGGCGAGGGACGGCTTGCAGCGATGTGAGTTGTTCCATGTGTTGTTATCGACAATCACCGTGCAATTCGCCATGGCTGTTATCTGATACCCCTAGTCCCACCATGATGCCACCTGGTAGGGGGGTATAGCATGGGGGAAGAGAAAGGCGTGTGAGAAGGGGAGGGAGAGAAGCGAAGAGGGGCATGTGGGGAAGGGAGGGTGTGTGGGGTAGTGCTATGAGTGGTACACACAAACAAGAATGAATAACCCACCTTGTCAATGACATCTGTGTTGTGTCTCAGCCAACCATATGCCTCACGGAAGTCATCAAAGATGTACTGCCCTCCGTCGTTAATGGCAGTGCTGGCAGTGCTGGCACTAGTTCGAAGCAGTGCTACTGACGGTACACACACACAACAACAGATGTTGGTGGGGTGGGAGGGGACCCACCTTGTCGTTAACGTCCGTGTTGTGGCGCAGCCACCCATACGCTTCACGAAAGTCATCAAAAATGTACTGCCCTCCGTCTTGGGTGGGCGAGGAGAGCACAATAGATGGCGCTGAGTACGCGTCTGCTGCTGCCCACACACAGTGCATCTGGTGGGGGGTTAGGCAGAGTAGAAGAGCCGGGGATGGATGGGTGAACGTATATGGGCTGCTCATGAAAGATATACTGTCCGCCGTCTTGGGTGGGAGAGGAGAGCACGATGAATAGGGCTGAGTTGGCATCTGCTGCAGCCCACACAGAGTGCATCTGAGGGGCGATGTGGGGATGGAAGAGAGAGACACAGTGAAATTTCACGGACGGAGGTTGCTCACGCGTCTGTTACAGCCCACACAAAGTGCATCTGAAAGGAGGGAAGCAGGAGGGAAGACCCTTTGCACCACCAATGACCCTACAGGCATCTTATGCCATCACTGCAGGGAGTTTTTGAGAATTCTCAAAAACTCCCTGCTTCACACCACCAATGACCCTACAGGCATATTCTGCCATCACTGACACATGAATCTGCTGCCTGCCACTCGAAAGAAACGGCTGATGAAGTTGAAACTTGAATCCACATTGCTCGATGCTTGCTCACGGTGTAAAAAGCAAGCCCAACGAGCATGAGAATAATGCCCACCGCTGCCGAATCCCCCTGGCACCTCTAGAGGGAACTTCCCCTTCCTCACTGTGTCAAATACAAGGCCACTGTTGAAACGGAAACACCTCTGAACTCACGGTGTAAAAGGCAAGGCCGACGAGCATGAGAATGATGCCCACCGCTGCCGCATCGCCGGGCACCACCAACGGAAACTTCCCCTTCGCCTTTTCCTTCTCCTTCCCCCCCTCCTTCCCCCACTTCCCCTTCCCCTTCCCCTTCACCCCCTTCTTCTTTTCAGCGGCCCCAGCCCTGGCTGCAGGTTCCTCGTCAGACTCCCCCCCCTCCCCCTCGCCCTCCTTGCCCTTCTTCTTCTTCCCCGCTCCCCCCTTGCGCTCCTTGGCCTGGCTCGCCTCGGCAGTGTTGCTGGCGGCCTGAGGCAGTGGCAAGAGGGTGGATAGAGACAAAGGGGTTAATGAGATCAACAAGCCCCCCCCCCCCCCCCCCCCCCTGCAGCCTCCTCGTCTGACTCCCCCTCCTCCCCCCCCCCTCGCCCTGTTTGGCCTTCTTCTTCCCCGCTCCTGCCTTGCGCTCCTTGGCCTGGCTCGATTCAACAGTCTTGCTGGCGGCCTGTGGCAGGGACAAGGGTTGAAAGGACCAAAACTTTCAAAGAGATTGGTGGGTGGGTCAATGGGGTCAATGCCTTCCTACCCTCACCATCGCCCTCCTTGCCCTCCTCCCCCCTGCTGACTTGCTCAAGGTATGTGGCATGAAATTTTGGCTGAATAAGGTCTCATCAAGTCAACAAGGTAAAAAAGGTGAGTGAGGCCTGTTTTTCACCTCAGCGGCAGAGGCGGAAGAGGCGGAAGAGGCGGAAGAGGCGGAAGCTGTCTCCTCCTCCCGCTTGTCCTGCTTGGCAGCGGCGTACGCCAGATCGATGAGGTCAGCAATAGAAGCCTTGACGGAGCAGCTCACCTCATAACCGAACCTCACATGCCAACAAACATACCCTATTCCTCTCTCTCACCTCAGCAGCAGCGGCACTAGCAGCATTGTCCTCCTTGTCGCCCTTGTCCTGCTTGGCAGCAGCATACGCCAGGTCGATAAGCTCGGCAATAGAGGCCTTGACAGAGCAGCCCACCTGCCCCCCCCTCTCACCTCAGCAGCAGCAGCAGTCGTCTCGTCCTTCTCGCTCTTGTCCTGCTTGGCAGCAGCATACGCCAGGTCGATAAGCTCGGCAATAGAGGCCTTGACGGAGCGAGTGAGCACGTCAAAGAGAGCGCTCACTGCGATGCCCGCCGTGATGCACGCTGCTGGCGCCAGCACCAGCATCAGACGGACCTGAAAGGAGGAAATGTGGAAGTGGGAGAGAGACAGAGAGAGAAGCAAGGGAGCGAGGGGTGAAAGGACAGAGGGACTGAGGAAGTCAAAGAGGGCGCTGATTAAGATGCCCGCTGTGATGCACGCTGCTGGCGCCAGCACCAGCATCAGACGCACCTGAAAGGAGGAAATGTGGAAGTGGGAGAGAGACAGAGAGAGAAGCAAGGGAGCGAGGGGTGAAAGGACAGAGGGAGTGAGGACGTCAAAGAGGGCGCTGATTAAGATGCCCGCTGTGATGCACGCTGCTAGCGCCAGCACCAGCATCAGATGCACCTGAAGGAGGAAATGTGGAAGTGGGAGAGAGACAGAGAGAGGAGCAAGGGAGCGAGGGGTGAAAGGACAGAGGGAGTGAGGACGACAAAGAGGGCGCTGATTAAGATGCCCGCTGCGATGCACGCTGCTGGCGCCAGCACCAGCATCAGACGGACCTGAAAGGAGGAAATGTGGAAGTGGGAGAGAGACAGAGAGAGAAGCAAGGGAGCGAGGGGTGAAAGGACAGAGGGACTGAGGAAGTCAAAGAGGGCGCTGATTAAGATGCCCGCTGTGATGCACGCTGCTGGCGCCAGCACCAGCATCAGACGCACCTGAAAGGAGGAAATGTGGAAGTGGGAGAGAGACAGAGAGAGAAGCAAGGGAGCGAGGGGTGAAAGGACAGAGGGAGTGAGGACGTCAAAGAGGGCGCTGATTAAGATGCCCGCTGTGATGCACGCTGCTAGCGCCAGCACCAGCATCAGATGCACCTGAAGGAGGAAATGTGGAAGTGGGAGAGAGACAGAGAGAGGAGCAAGGGAGCGAGGGGTGAAAGGACAGAGGGAGTGAGGACGACAAAGAGGGCGCTGATTAAGATGCCCGCTGCGATGCACGCTGCTGGCGCCAGCACCAGCATCAGACGCACCTGGGGGTAAGGGGAGAGAGAATGGGAGATGACGAGCAAACATAGAGTGAGAGAGGAAGGGAGGAAGGGAGTGGGGAAAGGCCTTGACGTTGCAGTCAAAGCTGAGCATTCACTGCAACGCCTGCCTTCCCGCCCGCTCTGACATGCACAAGTCATTGACTCACAAATTTAACCACCTTGATTCCATCCATTCACCGCGAGGCAACTGCATTGACTCACCCACAAATTCATGCAGCCAGCCATGACCCCATTGACTCACCATGACTCCGGAGAAGTACACGGAGACGACAAGGTAGAGTTGTTGCATTGACTCCATTGACTCCCAGACCATTGACCCCATTGACTCCCAGACCATTGACCCCATTGACTCACCATGACTCCAGAGAAGTAAACAGAGACGACAAGGTAGAGGGCCACAAAGGAGCTTGCATCTGTGAGCGGCAGGAAGCACGCCTGCAGGAACAAAGGGGTTGGGTTAGGGAAAAACAATCAGTTTTGAAATAGAGTTGACACAGGGACGACGAGGTAGAGGGCCACAAAGGAGCTGGCGTCTGTGAGCGGCAGGAAGCATGCCTGCAGGAACGAGGGGGTCGGGTTCAGGGATGAATGATCAGGTTATGGAATCCGGGTTCAGGGTTTGCACAGGGACGACAAGGTAAAGGGCCACAAAGGAACTCGCATCTTGACAAAGGGGTTGGTTTTCGTGAGGGACAAGAAGCACACCTGCAGCAAGGAGAGGCAAAGAGGGGCAGGCGGGTTTGAAATCCGGGGGTTGGGAACCAAGCCAAGACGCTGCAGCTGCAGTGCTCGCTGGAGGGTGAAAAGAAGGTCAGAAGCTGCTGTGCTTACAAACGTTTGTGCTTACAAAGGGCGGGGAATGCGGGGAGCTGCAGGTCCATGAAGTAGGACGTCTACATGGGCAGCTAGTGCTCACCGTGAGGGGCTGGTGGTCACTGTGAGGGGCTGGTGGCCAGCAGGAGCAAGGAATGCGAGAAGCTGCAGGTCCATGAAATAGAAAGTCCACATGGACGGCTGGTGCTCGCTGAGAGGGGCCGGTGGTCATGGTGCGGGGCTGGAGGTAGGTAGTACGAGAGGTGGTTGAACAGAGAGTGCGCTTACAATGAGTCCAGCGGGGGCGAGGAAGGCGAGCAGCTGCAGGTCCATGAAGTAGGACGTCCACATGGGCGGCTGGTGCTCGCTCACACTGGCGATGATGGGGATGTACTTGGAGGCGTACGTGCTGTGTGGGAGGGAGCAGAGGGAGGAGCGCAATGGGAGGCATACAAGGCGTATTGGCAGCTTTCATGAAACATTGGTGCTCGCTCACACTGGCGATGATGGGGATGTACTTGGACGCATATGTGCTGGGGTGTGGAGGTGGGGTGGGGATGGGAAGGGACGGCTTTTTGTCAGGTTTCATGATCCATGGTGCTTGCTCTCACTGCCGACAATAGGGATGTACTTAGACACGTACGTGGTGAAGGGGAGAGAGAGAGAGAGAGAACGAAATGGGATATGGGAATGCAAGCCAGCAAGCATGCAGGCAGCACTCACGGGTCGAGAAGGCTGAGGGAGCGGCCAGTCCAGCCCAGCGTGGGACTGGCGAGCACCATGGCGACGAGGGCAGATAGCAGCGCCACTGCCGCCACCCTGGGGATTGAAAGGAAGGTAGAGGGGGAGAGAGAGGGAGACGGGACGAAGAGAGAGAGGCAGTGCGGGAGAGAGAGAGAAACAAGTGGGGCTGTAATGCAAGAACAGGGGAAAGGGAATGCAAGAGAGGAGAGAGCAGAGGGAGAGTGCATATAATCCTATGGCTTTGCGTTGTTGTGAAGTGAAGTCGCACAAACACGGAGAATGCAGGACAAGTGTGTGAGCGGGAGAGGGGAAGATTGAATGAGTGAGCATTCACGTATGTGAGTGAGTGAAGTGAGTGAGTGAGGGAGTGTGTGTGAGAGAAACAGTGAAAGGGGGACATACGTGCCGACCGAGACGATGAGGGTGAGAGCAATGCGGAAGGCCTTAGCGGGCAGCAGAGCCTTGATGTAGTAGCTGAGTGCAGCGATGTGCAGCACCACAAACACCTGAAGGTTAAGGGGAGAAGGATGAGGTTGCACGGGGAGAGATGAGGAGAAACTGAAAAAAGGTAGCAGCAGAGCCTTGATGTAGTAGCTGAGTGCAGCGATGTGCAGCACCACAAACACCTGAAGGGGAGAGAGTTGACTTTTGAGTCGACTCAAAAGTCAACTCGCGATGTGCAGCACCACAAACACCTGAAGGGGAGAGAGTTGACTTTTGAGTCGACTCAAAAGTCAACTCGCGATGTGCAGCACCACAAACACCTGAAGGGGAGAGAGGGAGGGCAGAGGCAGAACGACATTGGGGGAAGGGGGTTGACAACAGCGTATAGGAACAGCAGCAGCAGTGCCTTGGTGTAGTACCTGAGAGCAGCAACGGGCAGCACCACAAACACCTGAGGGTCAGAGGAGGACAGCAAAAGATTCCTTAGGTGCCTCGAGAAACATCTGACACTTTGCGAGCGCGAGTGTATGTCTGCAGCAGCAAAACGGCACTTGGGGACAGAAAGTGCTCCCCACAGGGCGTCTACATGCAAGGGCCCAGAAAGCACGAAAACGCCAGCACCACATGCAATGGGGGGGCGTTTTGCACTCACCAGGAACCCTCCGAAGTGTTCAGACGTCATGACTGCGTTGAAGCCCACCACCGGCACCAGCGCTGCCAGCAATGTGCCTAGAATGATCTGTGGAGGAAGACATTGGGGTGGCGTGAATGGTGCACGGACAGAGAACATTCAGAGGGTTGCAGAGGTGCTGATACAGAGCAGCACGTGGATGGACATGGATGAACGCATGGCATCATGCAAGGGGTTGCACCAGGTTCATGCAACAGCTTGCTTACAGGTGGGGCGAAGCATGCTTGCTTACAGGTGGGGCGAGGCATGCTTGCTTACAGGTGGGGCGAGGCATGCTTGCTTACAGGTGGGGCGAGGCATGCTTGCTTACAGGTGGGGCGAGGCATGCTTGCTTACAGGTGGGGCGAGGCATGCTTGCTTACAGGTGGGGCGAGGCATGCTTGCTTACAGGTGGGGCGAGGCATGCTTGCTTACAGGTGGGGCGAGGCATGCTTGCTTACAGGTGGGGCGAGGCATGCTTGCTTACAGGTGGGGCGAGGCATGCTTGCTTACAGGTGGGGCGAGGCATGCTTGCTTACAGGTGGGGCGAGGCATGCTTGCTTACAGGTGGGGCGAGGCATGCTTGCTTACAGGTGGGGCGAGGCATGCTTGCTTACAGGTGGGGCGAGGCATGCTTGCGAGGGAGCGAAAATGGGTTGCTTGCTCACCAGAGGGGCGAACGCAATGTAGAGCCTAGAAGAAAAGCGGCCGGTGACGATGCAGAGCAGCACGTGGATGGGGGTGGATGGAGAGGTTAAAGCCCCAGCTCGCTCACAAAGGGGGGGCGACACAACAGAGAGCGAAGGGATGCTCACCAGAGGGGCAAAGGCGATGTAGAGTCTGGAAGAAAAGCGGCCGGTGACGATGCAGAGCAGCACGTGGATGGGGATGAAAGCACACATGCCCCTCAAGTGCACTCAATTAACCCCCCAGCTCGGTCACATGAGGGGAGAAGCGTGGCCTTATAAAGAGAAAATATGGGTGACTCACCAGAGGGGCGAATGCGATGTAAAGCCGCGAGGAGAAGCGGCCGGTGACGATGCAGAGCAGCACGTGGATGGGGATGAGGTTGATGATGAAGGTGTAGCCGCCCCACGACATCACCATGTAGAAATAGGCCGCCGCGTTGGCCGTGGCGTAGAATAGTGATCCTGTGTTGAGCGTCTGGGGTGGGGTTGGGTGTGGTGATGGAGGGATTTAGGGTAGGAATGAAAGTGTAGCCGCCCCACCACATCACCATGTAAAAGTAGGCCGCTGAGTTGGCTGTGGTGTAAAAGAGAGAACCCGTGTTGAGGGTCTGGGGGAAAGGAAGTGTAGGTGGGTTGGAGAACAGGGTAGGAGAGCAGGGAGTGTAGGGGCGGTGATGAGTGGATGGGGATGGGGTTGATGATAAAGGTGTAGCCGCCCCACGCCATCACCATGTAGAAATAGGCCGCGGGTCCGCTGGATTGGCCATCGCATAAAACAACGACCCCGTGTTGAGCGTCTGAAGAGAAGACGCGAGTGAAGAGTGAAGGGGGTGGGGGCGCAAAAAACGCACAATCACAATCACAATCTTAAACTGGTTCTTACGCCTGCACTCATTCCCATACATTCACTCCCGCACTGACCTTGATGTAGAGGTAGAAGGTGAAGACGAGGGCAAAGATGGCCACCCCCTCGTTGTCATAGCTGCCAGCCCACTCGCCCACTCCCCACCCCCTGATACACACACACAATCACACGCAGACCTCCATCCAGCTACACATGCACATGCAACTACACATGCACATACTCAGTCTCACACTCACCTTAATATAGAGGTAGAAGGTGAAGACGAGGGCAAAGATGGCCACCCCCTCGTTGTCGTAGCTGCCAGCCACAGAGCGAGAGATGTACGATGGCACCTGAGACACACAGGTGAGAGAAACAGCACGGCAATTTTGAGTTTGAGAGGCGCCTAACAAAATATGCATGACGCCACATGAAACACACAGGAGACGAAGGGCAGCACGACAGCAGCAACGCCTGCCCAGCCCCTCCGCCTCTAGTCTCCTTGACGAACAGAAGAGTGGACCACTCCATGTCATTACCCGACTTAGCAGTCAGCACCACATGTGCGTCACTCACCATGGTGATGATTGCGGCAGCACTCAGCCCAACCACCGTGCCCTGCACTTCTTTTGCCAGCAGGAACGCGGCAAACGCTACGTGCGCTGAGAACATTCATGCGCTAATGACTTGACTCAGCAGTCAACACCGCATGCACGCCACTCACCATGGCGATGAGCGCAGCAGCAGTCAGCCCAGCCCCCATGCCCCACACTTCCTTGGCCAAGAGGAAGGTGGCCCACGCTGCATGCACTAAGAACACTCGTGCGTTATGTCGAGTCGGCAGTCAGCATTATGGCAATGAGAGCAGCGGCATTCAGCCCAGCCCCTGTGCCCCGGACCTCCTTGGCCAGCAGGAAAGTGGCCCACACTGCATGCGCTGAGCATGCTAGTGTGCTTGTGAGTTGACTCAGCAGTCAGCACCACATGTGCGTCACTCACCATGGCAATGAGAGCAGCAGCGGTCAGCCCAGCCCCTGTGCCCCGCACTTCCTTGGCCAGCAGGAAGGTGGCCCACGCTGCATGCGCTGAGAACACTGGCGCCGTGAACACACACACCGTCTCCACGGAGAACGGGAAGTTGAGAGCGTTGGCGAGCCTGTATGGGAAGGCGGGACAGCAGGGGGGCAGAGGCGGGAAGGAGGAGCACTGGTGCCATGAAAAACACACACCGTCTCATCTCACACACACGGCGCATTGGCGAGGCTGTATAGAGGGGGAAACAAGGGAGAAAGGGAGAGCTGGAGTCACCGTCCCACCAATGACTCGCCATCATCTTGCCCTTAATTCATCCCACGCCCTCGAATCACCAGTAACTCCACGCTCTTTCACCATCATGCCCTGCACTGCACTCACCGCCACACCGTGCCCGGCGGAGAGAGTGAGACCCAGGTGCACCGTCCCACCAAACACTCCCACATGCCCTCTACTCACCATGCATCCCATGCCCTCTCGCCATCCATCACGCCCTACACTCACCACCACATGGTGCCGGCCGTGAGAGTGAGACCCGGGTAAACCGTTCCACCAATGGCTCCTCATGCCTTCACCTCACCATGCACCCCTCGCCCTCCTCACCTAGCCATGCACCTCACCATCCAGCACGCCGGATGGACTCACCACCACATGGTGCCGGCCGTGAGAGTGAGACCCGGGTACACCGTCCCACCAATGACTCGCCCCAGAGGGTACCTGCCACGGCCCGAGAGGCCAAACGGTTAAGAGGCGGCGAGGACACAAGGGAGGTATTGCAAGCCGAGGACTTGAGACGGGCAGAGTGAAACAGATGGTCCAGCAGTGTGCCAGCAACAGCCATAACGTCTCCCATCACTCGCCATGCCATCTCATCTCCCATCACTCGCCATGCCATCTCCCCCATCACTCGCCATGCCATCTCCCCCATCACTCGCCATGCCATCTCCCCCATCACTCGCCATGCCATCTCCCCCATCACTCGCCATGCCATCTCATCTCCCATCACTCGCCATGCCATCTCATCTCCCATCACTCGCCATGCCATCTCCCCCATCACTCGCCATGCCATCTCCCCCATCACTCGCCATGCCATCTCATCTCCCATCACTCGCCATGCCATCTCCCCCATCACTCGCCATGCCATCTCCCCCATCACTCGCCATGCCATCTCATCTCCCATCACTCGCCATGCCATCTCCCCCATCACTCGCCATGCCATCTCCCCCATCACTCGCCATGCCATCTCATTCCCCAACACTCACCACGTGCGGTCATCGAACCAGTTCCAAAAGTTGTAAAACCCCTCTTTTGAGAGAAACTGCACCGTGAAACAGGGAGCGGGAGAGGAGGGAAGGATTTTATTAGGCGCACAAGGACTCGCAACGACACATGTTCGAACTTCGTTGCACAAGTCAAGCACAAGCAACGGGACGCGCGTGGGGAGCATAGGGAAAACGCGTAATGGGACGCATCCGGGATGCCACAGCGAGACAGGACGAGCACGAGCGAGCAAAAAGGAGGCCATATGAGGCACCTGGGGGACGGAAATCACCTGGGTGACGGGAATCACCCGGGTGACGGGAATCACCTGAGTGACGGGAATCACCTGAGTGACGGGAATCACCTGGGTGACGGAAATCACCTGGGAGACGGGAATCACCTGGGAGACGGGAATCACCTGGGTGACGGGAATCACCTGGGAGACGGGAATCACCTGGGAGACGGGAATCGCCTGGGAGACGGGAATCACCTGGGAGACGGGAATCACCTGGGAGACGGGAATCACCTGGGTGACGCGGTAGTTGAAGTAAGGGTCGAACTCGTGAATGACGCTCTCGTACTTGATCACCTGCGCATGCCAGCACAAAAAGAGGAGACAAGCGATTTGAGGGGTATGTTGGGTGTTTCAATAGTAATGGCAGCGTGGGGGTCTGGGTCGCAGCCGTGAGTGACGGTCTCGTGAGGGATCACCTGTTATGGACAGACGCGGAGCACCAGAATCCATGACCGCATGGTATTCGGAGCACTCCATATGGTTAATTCGACTGCATGAGGTTACCAATAGTTGGTCTGGCCGTGTGGCTGTGTAAGAGGATAACGGGCATGAAGGACGCGAGTGTAAGTTGAAAGTGAAAACACTCTAATCCTGGATCAAGCGCGTCAAATAAATGGACCACTAGAGATCCAAGACTGGACGGAAAATCGTCGGAAAGTATAACACATCTGTGTGGTCGACGGTACAGCCCCAGGTGTTCTCGGTTATCCGCGTGCGTTGCCGAGAAGCAGAGAGAGGGAACTGAGAGTTGAAGTTTACCAAGGTAACGGATTTCCTGGACACGAGAGATGAAGTTTGTGATCCAGATCTGACGGATTTCTCACGAAACTAAACCGCCTGTGGTTCAAGTGCCTGATCGCTGATCATCAAGAACGCGAAGCGGCCAAGACGGCCCTTTTACATATGGCTCGAGGCAGCAGCTTAGAAGCACCGAAGAAAATCCGAAAAA